GAGCTCTTTGAGAGGCTTTGTCGACTCTGTAAAACGTAAGACAAAAAAAAAGTATGTCAGTTGGCGTCGCCATGTTTGTTTTGTTCGGCACTGGCTTCTGCCCAAACCACAGTGCTGCTCTGTGATTGGTCAGTTGGTGGTGTGTATCCTATAACATGCAAGATGGATTCTCAAGAGCTTGTGAACGCTCAAAAATCATGAAAATTCATCTTACTGCCAAAGCTTTTTTGTTTAGAGTTGTTAATTGCTATGACAGTGGCCCTAATCTTTCGTTAGTCTGAAAAAATAACATACTTGATTGTAACAAATTTCAGTCCAGTTATAAAATTCTGCCGCACGTGTCCTGATGAGGACCAGAGGGTGGGACCACATTACACCGGTTTTAAAATCACTGCATTGGCTCCCTGTGAGTTTCAGGATCGATTTTAAAGTTCTTTTACTGTCTTAATGGTCTTGGGCCTTCTTATCTTTCAGAACTGCTTTTACCCTACAAACCCTCGCAGACCCTGTGCTCCTCCGGCAGCAGCTCCTGCTCATTCCCAAAGTCAGGACACACACTCACGGAGAGGCATCTTTCCAATACAATGGCCCCCGTCTATGGAACTGTCTGCCGGAGGAGCTCAGGGCTGCAGAGAACGTTCATGTTTTTAAGAGCAGGTTCAAGACCCACCTTTTTAACTTAGCTTTTGATTGAAATCTTATGCTTTTACTTGTTTCTATTCGATTCATTTTATTATATTTATTTATATTTATTTATTTTAGGCATATTTTTTAGGATTTCCAGTGTTTCCTATGTAGGAGCCTCTGCATCAGGAGCGGAGGTCGGCTGTGGCCGCTGGGTCTGTCCCGTGGGCTCCTGGTGGAGGGTTGGTGCTTGGGCTTCATCTCTCCCCTGGACCCTGTGGTGGTTCCTGGTGGTGGACGTCTCTCTGCTCCTGGTGTAGACGGCTCCTCTGATGGTGCTTTCTCAACTGGTTCGCTTGTATTTAGCTTCACATTTTCCTATGTCCGGTTTTATGTATTTTAGCATGTTAGTGTGTGTGTGTGTGAGCGTGTGTGCATGTTTGTGAGTATGTGAGTGTGAGTGTGTCTGGTTGTTTGGTTGTGTGGGGTTGGGCAGGTGTGGGGGTTGGGTAAGTGGGTGGGTGGATGGAAATGTGGGATTGTTTTTAATCAGTGTAAAAGCTCTTTATAAATAAACTTTGATTTGATTTGAAAATGTGTAAAATGATTGTTTTACATTCTATCTACATTGTATAGGCTTTTTCCTGTCATGTTAACTTTCTCTTGTGTGTTTGCAGATGTGGTGTACACAAACTAACCCTTTTACACTGTTTGTTGAAGGTGTTCCAATGATATTAGTCACTAAGAGATCAGCCTGAACACAAATGCACAGAACAGCATCAGAACAACCATATTTCCTCTGCGTTTGTGATGGGTGCGTTCACTGGACAGACCGAGGATGGGAACTTTGTGAATGGGCACAGAGAGGGAGAGAGAGAGAGGTGGTGGCTGTTTTTGTGTGTCTGTCAGGAGCAGCTGACTGCATTGTTCTGCTGCATTCACAGTCTGGCTCCTTTCATAATCCGCCTCTCCATCCCTACATCTGACAGACCACAATAATTCACAATCTCTCTTTCTGTTGAATCTCTTTCTGAAATCTCTCTTTTTCTGTCCCTCTCTTCACTCTTTCCCTCTCTTCCTTTTTCTTCCCTCTATCTCCCCTTCTCTTCTCTTCTCTCTCTATTTCAGTCTTTCTCTCTATCTCTGTATTGTGCCCCTCAAACCCATTCTTTCTCCCTCCTCTTTCTGTCTTCTACCAGTTTCTCTTTCTCTCTCTGTTTCTCTCTCTCTCTCCTTCTCTCTCTCTTTCTTTCTTTCTTCCTCTCTTCTATGGCCTGTAATGTTTATTCAAATTGCCCAGCTGTTCTTCCCTTTGTAACAAAACATCTCTACTCATCTGTGTTGCTATGTCGGCTTTAGGTCAGGTTTGACCAGCAGAGGAAATAGGATTTATCAAAAATGAAGTTAAGAAAACAAACATGTAAACAATATCAAAGAAAAAAATGCACACATCTGCCTTTTTTTGTTTTGTCACGAGTACGTTTTAATGTTTAAAGCAGACTTATTATTAAGAGCTTTTAAACATGTTTTAGTTGTTTCCCCTTCTCATTTACCCTCTTGAAGTTGTATTTGAGAGTGATATGTGCATGTCTGAGTCATCTTTAATCACTTATTTCCAATTATTTTGCAGTTCATCTCCTGTTTTCACCACCGGCGTAGGCCCACTGCTCTGGACTTAATTCATTCTCCAGTTTTATTTTCTTAATCCGTGATACACACAGAAATCCACAGCGTAGTTATTTTGGTAAAAAAGTTGTCAAGTCAAGTTGCAGACTCTTTGTTTTGATGACAGTTACTGCGATGTCCGACCCATTGGGCATTGCAGTTTCCTAATGTGAAAGTCAGCGAATTGGTTTCTTTTTTAGGTGATTTTAGATGAATATTGTGATTTAAAATGCGCACATTATAAGATAGCGATCCATGGGTGTTGTAGATTATAACTATAGCAGTCACAAACAGAATGTGTGTTCTTTAAGTCTTTTGTCTGTTGTAGGTTTGAGCCTGGACCATTCCACTGAAGTGATAGAATCTGCATCAGAATACCACACCGACTCAGGGCACCAGGGCGAATACACAAAGGTGGGTATAGTGCTTCTCTGCATAGTTTACCAAGAGCATAGTTTAACTAAAACTTGAGTAAAATATTTGACAGTATAACAGTACTCTTACCTGAGTAAAGTGATGGTTCCTCTTCTCACTGTGAGTAAGTCTACAAGTGACAAAAACTTTATGTGACAATATGAATTGGTTTGAACATTTATGTTTCTTGCACCGCTCCTTCACATATGATTTAGTTTTCCTTAATTGTGAGCTATTCTTAAAAAAAACAAAAAAAACAAAACAAAACACATACTGGGCATACTGTAGAAATACTAAACATACTCTGCAACTGTAGAAATACTACTTAGTTTTAGTTGTCTTACCAAATACTGTAATTTATTTGACCTCTACTTTGTACTTCTACTTGAATAAAATGTTAATTTGAAGCAATAATACTCTTTGGCCTACTTACTATGAGTATTTTATGGCTACTTTACACTCCTCTGGCTATGTAAACTGTAAAACAATATACTTCCACTACATATCAGCTCTTTGTCACATGTTGTGGTCTAAAACTCTCACTATTCTAACACACAAAGCTCGAGTATGGCACTGAACAGCTGCTGTGAGTCATAGACCACACCTGGTGAGAAAACATGTGTCACCTGTTTGCTCCCATTACACTCATGATATCATCCAGTCGATGTGGATCCACTGGTAAGGCTGTGTTAACAGTTAACTCTAGAACTAGAACATGCCAAGATACTCATACATGGAAGAAAAATGATCATTCCTCCATTAGTTTTTCAAAATAAAACCAAAAATAAGAAAACGAAAAAACAACTATTTTCTTCTTTATTTGTCTCCAAAACCAAAATGAAAAAACGGATAATGATTCATTTTTTTCAGTTTTCGATTTTGTGTTGAAATGAATAATGGGGGGAAAAAAAACAGATAATGACCGTTTCATGTTTCCGTGATTTAAACTGCGATGCCGGACTGAACCAGGACTAAACCAGGACTAAACCAGGTCCAGGACCAGACTGGAACCAGGCCAGGACTGAGACCAGGACATACACCGGGACCAGACCAGGACTGAGACCAGGACTGAGACCAGGACTGAGGCCAGGACCAGACTGGGACTGAGACCGGGACCAGACCAGGACTGAGACCAAGACCAGACTGGGACTGAGACCGGGACCAGACTGGGACTGAGACTGGGACTGAGACCGGAACCAGACTGGGACTGAGACCAGGACTGAGACCAGGACCAGACTGGGATTGAGGCTGGGACTGTGGTTGGGACTGAGACCGGGACTGAGACCGGGACCAGACCAGGACTGAGACCGGAACCAGACTGGGACTGAGACCAGGACTGAGACCGGGACCAGACTGGGATTGAGGCTGGGACTGAGACCGGAACTGAGACCGGGACCAGACTGGGACTGAGACCAGGACTGAGACCGGGACCAGACTGGGATTGAGGCTGGGATTGAGGCTGGGACTGAGACCGGGACTGAGACCAGGACCAGACCAGGACTGAGGCTGGGACCAGACCAGGACTGAGACTGGAACCAGACCAGGACTGGAAATGGTTTAGTCCTTTTTTAGTCTTGGTTTAGTCCTGGTTCAGTCATGGAAACAGGAAACGGTCATTATCCGTTTTTTCCATTTAAACACAAAATCAAAAACTGAAAAAACAAATCATTACCTGTTTTTTCATTTTGGTTTTGGAGATAAATAATGAAGAAAATAGCTGTTTTTTTTTGTTTGTTTGTTTTTTTCATTTTCTTAGGTTTGGTTTTATACTGAAAAACAAATGAACGAATGATACATGGATTAAGAAACAATATAAGACTCCATATGACCTGTCTGTGTCTCTGTATACAATGAGACATGTTCAAATCAAATATGGTTTTACTAGTAACAACTGTGATGCTGATTTATTTTTAATTATGTTATAGTTATAATTTGGTGTTTTGGTTCTTAAGGCAATTATCCAATCAGAAGCAGAATGAGCCTCACATGAGTCTCTCATTTGTGTTGCCAGTTTCAGCGCAGAAATCCAGTGTGTTTAAACCTAAAATGCCTCTCTCTGATCTGAATGGTCACTAGCTAAACCCCGGCATCTGCAGCCAATCATGAATCAGTGCTGGTGAATTCTGAAGGTTCTGAGCTTTCACATGAGTCCCGTTCATATCCTGAGAATGAGACAAAGTTGGATGTGTCTCTATCTGCAGGTTAAAGCTCTGTAAACGCAGGTACACTTATGTTTTATGAATGCATGTCGTGGTGTTTAGGATCACGGTGACACTGATGAGTCTGACAAAGGTGAACATATGATTTATTGTCAAGTTACTGTACACAGATAAATGCAAATCAAACTAAGCCGTTATGAAAACAAGCATACAGTACTTACAATACGACTAACACTATAAGAGATAACAAAAGTGCATAGAGTTAACGACACTGACTATGGATTATTGAAAATACACCATAAGGATTTGCACATGATTTGTATCGGCATATCGTATTACATGATGGTTATGACTTGATCAGTTCCCTTTAGAAAGCAAAGGATTTTAGTAAAACAATACGCTGTTATCAAGCAGTCTACAGTTGCAAGGTTGGTCAGATCCTAGTTTTTGCACCTGCCTCCGTGTTGGTTCTAGTTGCTAATAAACAAACGCAAACGCCAAAGGAAACATGCATTAACTGCCCAAATATCAGAATTAAGTAAATTATCTTAAAACTTTTCTGACAGTGTTTGAACATTCCACCATAGAGATGCGCGTAGAACTCCCCCAGCGTGACACTACTGCAAAGTATCAATAAAAACAGTTTGACAGAAGCAATATGGTGCCAACAGCCCCGATATCCACACGTAATCTGCACCGACTGCCCTCTGTGACATTAGTTAGCAAAAAAAAGATTGATAAAATATTTTCAGATTAAGATTAATAATGATAATATAGTTTTAGATTGAAGATTCTTATAAAATGTTGAGTTGAACTGAATTGTGCTGTTAAATGTTTAGAGTTAAGAAGGCACCTGGACAAAACTGAACTGACTGAGGCGGGCAATATTGACGAACTGATGAATTTTGTTTATCTCCAAAACAACAATTAGAGTATAAATGTTTCAACATATCTCCCACCTCTGCCCTTGAACAATTCATTCTAAGATATTGCTAATAAAATCATGTAGAACAGTTTTGACATGTCCGATATTGTATCATAGCAAAGCATTGTAAGTTATTGTGTGGAAACATTGTCGGCAGTTTGACCTCTGCTCATTTTCCTTCATCATTTTGACCACTGACTGTATGGAATGATTTTGATAAGATAAACAGGGGGTGCTCTACTCCTCTTATTATAGTGATCCTTTTGTACACACGGTGGTTTCACTTGGTTTTCTCGGCTTCTGTTGGGACTCCTGCGTCTGTGGAGGGGCGCTTCTGACTCTGAAAACAAAAAACAAAACATGTATAACTTTTATATGTTTATGTGAAAGGATTTAGCTTGACAAATGTTTCAAAAGACCAACTATACAGCTACTTTTGCACTGTGCGTGAAATCCCTCAGTCATTCAGGTAGAATCCATGGCAAAGGAGAAATTCAATTTGTAAACTGGACAAAGGGACCTGCAGGGAGGGACTATCTACACTGAAAAAAGTGTACTTCGTGTCTCAGAGTAGTTAGCCCCTCCCTACAGGCAGATAAGGCAGTGTCCACCAGCAACAGGCCAGAACAGAAGAAGCAGCTTGGATAAGCTGTGAAACATAATCAACCAAAATAAACTTTTGTCCAGCTGTCAAATTCAATTTCTCTTTGCCATGCTCCTCCACTGGCTTTCTTTTGTCTACTGGTGCCATCTAGTGGCAGAATCAGAACAATACATTATATTGCCATTGTCAGTGAACAAAATTCACAAACTAGGAACTTGCTTCTGTGTTATAGTGCAACATAAAACCAATAATTAAATAAAACATAAAATACAAATACAAAATATACAGTATGGACAGAATAACAGTGCAAAAACTCAGCTGAGATGCATTTGGATTACAATATGTCAGGGGTCTCCAACCTGTAGCTCAGGAACGACCAGTAGCTGTCCAGCCCATTTCAAGAAACTCACCAAGGGATTTCTGAATTACATGTATTGTCCTGAATAACTCAGATTTTATGAATGAAATGCCTATTATTATTGTAAATCTATAATTTTGATGCCTAACTGTGTGCACTCATAAATAAATGTTTTATGTTTTATATATATACTGTACCCCATCTAAGTCTTGCCATGGCTCTTTTGTATATTTCCTGCGACCACTAAAATTTGTAGCTCTCTGGAAGTTTCGTTGTGTCAAGGTAGCTCACCCGAGGAAAAAGGTTGGTGACCCCTTCAATATTTATAGAGCTGCTCACATGTGTAGTATCGCAATGCTGATGTAAAGATGTACTAGGTAACTTTCCTAATGGGGAGTCTGCCAGCTCCTCATCTCCATGGCGATGCTATTGCTTTCCTTAGAATATTCCACATTAAACTATTCTGTCTACATGATGGTGGACCAAAGTTGTGCCTTTAAGCGTATGTAGTGTATACCAGTTTATTATACTTGTTAAACCAAGAATAAAGAATTAATATTATTGTAATGTTGTTGTAAATAACATTGCTGTGTCACTCTTAGTCCAAAAAAATGTGTATTTACAAACTTTACTCTGCAGTCTAATACTTTTTCATTTATTGTCGTACCAGGTTTTTGAAGAAGAGTGTGATGGAGTTCCTCTTCTCCTTCTTGGGTGCAGCGGCGGCCTCTTCTCCAGCAGATGGCGCTGCAGTGGCTGGTTTGCTCTCTGCAGCGGCCTCAGGAGACTTTGCCGCTTTTGGAGCTTCTTCTTTGGCTGGACCCGCCTCTGCTCCTGCGGCCGGGGCGGAGGAGGCTTTGGGATCCGCTGCCTGTTCAGGTGCAAAACAAAATTATTTTAGTAAGTCCACAATTCAAAAAAATCCTAAATTATTCATATCAATTTTGCGCTTTTAAATAACTCAAAGCACATTTAGGAATCAAATCACAACAGATCCAGTAAAAGGTTGGGTGGTTGCCTTATTACTAGAAGGTCAGCAGTTCAATCCCACCTCTGAATACTGCCTACTGCTAGTATGCCCTTGAGCAAGACACTTCACCCAGTTTGCCCAAGTAAGTGCGGAGTGTGTTTGAGTAATTGGTGGTGGTTGATGTTTACCTATTATTACAGCAGACAAAAGTACTCAGAAAACATATCAAGTATAGTAAAGCAGTACACTTTGAAAGTAGCTGGGATCTAACTGCCAACCTCCTGGTGCAATGGGCAACTATTTATACCAACCCAGGAACCATAAGCTTCTATAAAGACTGAGAGACTTTTTAGTGACTGCAACGAGACAAAGCTTCAGAAGGGTTAAGAAAAACATTCAATACAACACAAATTTAATACAACTATACGTTCACACTTTTCGCTTTTGTTATTAGGCTGCATTCACGTAGCATTATTATTTTAATTTTAAAAGATCAGCAGCTGCCAAACATGCAATACATGGCAGAACAATAACAACCACTGTTAGATGTCACAAAAACCTCCACTCTTTAAAGGGCCCATGTTACGCTCTGATTTGATCTTTGTTCTAATGTTGTTTCCTCATCCCAAACAGACCTGGAGTTGTGCTTTGTTTCATTCACACATGTTTAACACTCAGACCCTACATATTTAGGCTGAGTTCTTCTTTCAGACTTAAAACACACTGTTCCACCTTGTGATGTCATGTGGCACTATGTTTTTAAACTCCATACACCTTCAGCTATGGAATTTCCAATCTCCACTGAACAAAAAGAAAAGGGTGGCTATTAACTTGAAAACTACTACTACATGACATCACAAGTAGCATTTTCAGGCCGACAGAAAACCATGCCAGTGCCAGTACCTAATCTCGAACCAACTGTCGTGTCATTGCCGAAAATCAGAACCAACCATTTGATTCCCAACGGGAAAACTTGATTTTTTAAGTGCACTGTGACAATAAAGTAGACATCAGCAGTTTCATCCAGGTCACACGTGGTAAAATAAACAAAGAAAACATGTGTGTGGATTATGGTGGTGAAATTAAGTGCCAAGAAGATTGTGCAGTGGTCAGCGGAGGAGAGCAAATATTTGCTATATCTGTGTTCGCATGGTAAGGTTACATCTTTGGACTGGGCGTCGCTGCCTTCTCCACAGCAGATGTTGTAGCAGAACTTGGCGCAGATAAATAATGATTTGTATGAGTACAAAGGCTCGCTGGTGTCAATGATGTGATCCATGTTATTTTCCTCGCTGTGATATCTGCTTTTTAATGGCAAATCCAAACCCTCTGTTGATGATGCATCATGGGTTCACTTAAATGGTTTGTACGCAGGTTGTTCACTGTTAAGCATTTTGGTTCCCAGTGGAACTGGTGCTGGAACCTGCACCATTCTGACCGACCTGAAAACAGCTAAAGTGGAACAGAGCTTCAGAAATGTAGACAGACCAATAAAGCAGGATTACTCAAACAAGTGTTAATGAAACAAAACACAGCTATGTGGCTTAAAGATTTTGGCAACATGACTCCAAGCTCACAAGAATCCATTGTGTATAATAAAGAAAGAATGTTTTTACTGTGAAGATTTTGAGGTTCTGCTGGATAAAAAATAGCTGCATAAATATTATGGACTTATGAGTTCTGTCATAGTTATAAATTGTTGTGTTTCATACCAGTAGGCACAGTCTACAAAATAATTTGATCCTTTATTCCAGTGATAAGTCTATTATACCAACATAACCAATCACTCCACTGCTAATTAAAAGTGCACATGTAACTTCTGGCTGAGGTATGCCACCGCTTGTTTCCATCTCTTTTGCTTTGTCTGGAATATTTCACAGTATGTAAGAATGCATGCTTTTCAAAGTATTTTAGCAATAAACACTACTAATGAAATGAATGCTTGATGGTTAAGTTTAATGCCATACAATGAAATAATTCAGGCAGAGCAGTAACATATTCATAGAGCAAAACAGGTGACTGGCCATCCACCAAAAAAGTTACACAATGCACCTTTATTAGCGTCTTAACAAGAGTCATACACATTCTCATCTCAATTAAATGCAACAGGAATGCCATCTTAATCGTAACCATTTCAGAATCCTTCAGTTGTGTTCACCAAACTCTGAGAGCAGCACAGATCAACACAAAGAGCACACATGACACAGACACAGAGACAGAGACTGTGGGGTTATGAGCACAGCACTTCTGGGTTAGTGCTTTTACCGCTGCTGTGGCTTTTGTCCTGAGCAGCTGCAGTCCACTGGAGGCCGCCTGGACTGTGGAGGTCACATGGTCTAACAGAGCCTCAAAGGTCAAGGCAGGACGTTAAAGTCACTCATTATATGCTGTTTATTTCATTTAGAGTTTCAGATTTAAAACTACACTGCAGAACATTCCAACTTATGTGAATCTTGAGCAAATAAATGGTAACAAAATATATAAACAAACATGCCCGTATTACCAACTATATTTTCTATAAACTACGTGTTACTCAATGGTGTATACAAGCTTCTTCATGTATAGTCCATTATCTTTTTGTGATATAATTGATGTTTACAGGTATGTTTTCAGCACAACCACAAATACATAAATCACTGGTCTGGGCCCCAGTCTTATCACACAGTTCAGATGTGTGTGATTGACAGGTGAATTATAATTGGGGACAAGCATGATCTGTCACTAAACACTCTTAATCTATTGCATATGTTTGTCTGTTTATTGAAATGTTCTGCAGTAGGACTTTCATTTATAACTTGCATATATGTGAGTGCTCTTACTTTAGGTTTGAAGAATGAGAGCACAGACTTCTTGGCCTCAGGTTTCTTCTCGTTTTGAGCGGCTGGAGCAGGGTCAGGTTTAGCAGCAGCCTCCAGAGTCGAGGCTTTAGACGCATCAGGCTTCTATAAAACACAAGGCCAGTGCTCTGTGTTAGGAGAGTTTTCATGAGGTTTATAATGTCTGTTTATGTGACAGTGGCTTTAGGCTCCTGAGAAGAAGAAGAATTCAAGATCATGCAGAAATGGTGCAGAGTAGATATTTGGGGGTGCTGAGATTTCAAAAACGATTAAATTTAGTATGTTTTATAGGTCTATTGTTTATTTGACAATCAAATCTGATCTTGGTAACTTTGCACAGCAAGATGAATTTGTGAGTCCACAAACTCAGTGTAATCCATCAGGTCTGTCTTGCTGATGTGATTAGGCCCAGGTCATCAGTGGTTCAGAGCAGTCTGAGACAGAATACTGTGGCCCTTTGATGAAGCACCAAACAACCAGAACAAACAGTGCCTCTGCCTTACCACCAATACACATTTTCTATGAATAAAAATGCAGAGGGAATCACATTGTGCTTTGCTCATCTGGATTTCACAAAAACGTGATTTTTTAGCTTGTTCCACTGCCGACCAACCCTTTTCCTATTGCTTTCAAAGAGAGTCGCCCTAGACTGGAAAAAGTGGCATCTGGCATGAGCCAGGTTACTTTTAATTGAAGTAAGTCTCTCTCTTCTGGCTGTATTGAAAAACAAACTTCAGCCAATTTGATCAGTTTAAAGAAATGAAGAAAAAAAGTGACCCAAGATTTAAAGATATAGTTTAGAAATATAAAGATATATAAAGAGAAGGTCCATGCATTTTATCAGAGCATCTGTTGTCATGAATGTTACCTGTTCCTCTAGCACTGTCTGTGGCTGTGTCTCTGCTGTGTTCTGTGTGTTGACTGTACTGTCAGTCTGAACACATCAACACAACATTTAAATAATGTGAATTATGTGATTAAACAGTTAAAGCTGTAATTATATTTTCATTTCCAAATCATACCTTGTCTTCAGAAACAGGCTGTGGAGGCTCCAGTGGTGTGTCAGGCTGAGTTACATTTGTTACATTTGGAGTGAAGATTTAAATACTTTGTTAGAATCTATTCAACAGTCTGGTGTATTTTTCATTTTTACCTGGACATTGACTGTCTGGGCGTCTTCTACTGCAGTTTGTGGTTGTGTTTCCTTTGACTGTTAAAGGAAGGGTTAGTTTGGGTTATTATTCTGAAATAAAACCTGAACTGTTAGACAGTTAGTACAATTGTTGCTGTTAGTTTAAGGCTTAAGTCATTTTAGAGTAACTGTAGCTGTATTTTGAACACATAAGTACAATGGATTTTAAAATAACTTTTTCAGTCTTTAAAATGTTTTCTTTCATTTTTGCTTTTGCGTCATTAGTTTGTGATTTGTGCATCATTTTTTATGCCAAAACTGTGGTGAATAATTAGGCTGCTCTGAATGCATAAGGTAAGTGAGGGAAAACTCTGGACCAATGCAAACTCTTTAAAATGAACTAGTTCTGGTTTTCACTTTTAAGACAGTAAAAATCATGTACAGCTCCTTTAAATCAGCTCTTGCTCCATAAACGTGATATCTTCTTGGCTTACCTTGGACCTGAAGAGTCGTGTGAGAGTGTCTCTGGCTGATGAGGCCTTGGGACTGTCCTTTGGTTTGGGCTCCTCTTTGGGCTTTACAGCTTTAGCGGCTGGCTCTGCTCTGGGAGGTTCTGGAGGAGGAGGAGGGGGCATGGGCATTCCTTTAGGGGGCGCTGGCGGGTCCGATACCTGCGCAACCTGCTCAACAAACAAGACAATAAGAGTATTTGGGAAATGAAGTAACATGTAAGTACAGTTTCTCTCGCTAATACTGGCACAGGTGATACAATCTGGTGTTAAAAGGGAAATTTGACTTAAAGACACGACAAAATGGCTCAGTTCTCCACCAGCAGTTCATGGACTAAAGTAGAATAAACCAGGTCTAAACTAAGACCAGGTTTAAACCAGGAATAAAGCAGGTCTAAACTAGGACTGAACAAGGTCTATACCAGTTCTAAAGAAGAACTAAACCAGGTCTAAACTAAGACTAAAACTGGACTTAAACCAGATCTAAACTAAGACTAAACCAGGTCTAAACCAGGAATAAACCAGGTCTAAACTAGGACTGAACAAGGTCTGAACCAGGACTAAATCAGGTCTAAAGTAGGACTAAAAAGAACTAAACTGGGTCTAAACTAGGACTAAAACTGGACTTAAACAGGTCTAAACTAAGACTAAACCAGGTCTTAACCAGGAATAAAGAAGGTCTAAACTAGGTCTAAATCAGCTCTACAGTAGAACTAAATCAGGACTAAACCATGTCTAAACTAGAACAGAACAAGGTCTAAACCAGTTCTAAATAAGAACTAAACCAGGTCTAAACTAGGACTAACCCAGGTCTAAACCAGGTCTATACTAAGATAAAACCAGGTCTCAACCAGGTCTATGTGCATTTATTTGAAATGGTGTGGGCTTCTATAGGTGATTATCATACTTTTTGTAATTATTTTGAAACAAAAGTTTTACATTGGGGTAACAGTTGAACAGCCTACACCCGCCTAGAGCAGTAGGGTTACCGGTTCATGTTTTGTAAATGAGCAAGGCGTCCCCCTACCTCAAATTCTTCATGAATCTACACTTTTGTCCCATATTTGTCATTTGTGCCAGTATTAGAGGAGATCAGATTGTACCAGCAGGTTAAATACAGAAGCATGCAGCTGTAAGCATGTGTTTGTGTAGGCAGAGCTCACAGTGGTGGTAGTGGCTGGAGCAGGCTGGGTCTCTGAGGGCTGAGGCTGATGCAACAAAAGAGAAAGCAGTTAAGAGTAGGTTATGGATCAGCAAATAAATAAGTATGCCTATAGTATTAAAACAGCATTCCTCACTGGTCAATGTTTGCATGGGGGAAATACTTTTGTTAATACTCATGACTGAGAGCCCAGGACCAACCAGTCAACCATAAATGACCATTTGATGCATCCATCAACAATCAGTCAGTTTCCCATTTAGACAAAGCAATGCATTTAAGATGACCAATAACCTAAGGTGCACTATGTAACCTTTCTGGCTTGTCTCCATGGAGATGTTATTGCTTGCCCAGCGTTAAACTAAGATCAATTTGACCATTAGGCCAGGACTGGGGACAAACTTCAATAATAATAGTAATGTGTGCACTTTCTCAAAACACTGTGGTCTTTATTAATTCACTCGACACTCAGGTGGTAAGATACTACTGTAAAACTGGACAGCTGCCCCATCTCACCATTCAAACTTTCCACAATTCAACTGAGAATCATTTTTAAATATTTGATTTTTAACCAGCCTATTTATAATCAAAATGAAAAAAAGATCATCTTTGCTCATATTTAATATTAAAATCATAAAATCTTTCAGCCAGATAGAAACTGAAACCAGATAAAAACTAAAACCATCTTTGTAAATGATGCAAAGATTCAATTCTTAATCCCAAACCATAAGGTCCAACCAGTGTCTTTAAGCTCTGAAGGGAGTTGTAGTTGTACCTGTTCTTTTGTGGCATCTGGAGCTGGTGCCTCTTTTTTCGTCTTTGTGGGAGTGACCTGGAAGAAAATGTAAAAAAAAAAAAAAAAACGTTAAACAAGAGAAATGAAAAACGAAATATGAACAAATCACAAAATCTAAATAACTTGATTTCAAAACCTGACCATTTGAAACCATTTGACTGTTTCATCATTCAGTGGAGTAAAAACAGAAAACTCTTCAGGCCTCTATCTATTTGAGTCTATTAAAACAATGAATTCAGCAGTCTAAATAAAACAGAACCTCATATAAACTCAGAGAAGGTTATTGCTTTGCTTAACTCTGATGTTCCACAATCTGGCATTGAACTTCTCTACAGAGACAAAGAGGAGATGCAGCCAGATCAAGCTGCAGTTCTAATCCAAACAGAAGCAAACCTGCCCACAGTAAGAATGTGGTTTTAAAGCAATCAAAATGCCTGTAAAATGCAACATTGAATTTTAATGCCATACTGTGGAACATTCCAGGAAAAGCAATAACATCTCCAGCCAGAAAAGGTACACAGTGTGCCTTCACTTACAGTCAAATCTATTCTAAATGATAACATGATAGATTCCTTTTTCAGTTTTTTAACAAAGTCTAGCTGAAATAAATTGGTTTCTATAATAAATGGTATTAGCCAAATCAGCACAGAGTATTCAGTGAGAAAAAGTAAATCCATTGTAATTGGTAAAATTTGTTTAGAATAATGAATTTATTATTATTTTTTTTAATCAAAATTTTTATTAACAGTTAAATAGAGACAATACAACAGACAGTACGACAATTTGCTTTCTCTTTCACTTCACGTATTTCTCTTTGATAGTACTGATTAATTTTTTTCCCCCTTATTCCATTAAGGATACAAAGAAGTTTAAATAAAATAAAAAAATAAAAAACAAGGTGAAAAAAAAGAACATTTGAACACTTGAGTAGCAGTGCACAGGGATTATAATAATGAATTTAAATGTGCAGTATGATTGAACGACTCCATGGAAAATAGAAAGTTAAAACTGTATGTTGGAAAATTTGACATGGAGATAGATACATTTTCTTTCATACTATGGAATATTATAGCCAAAGGAACGACAAATAGCAAAAAAGAGTCAGGTTTGTGGAAATGCAAGCCTGCTCTGAGTAATGACACATGTTTTTCAGTGCAATAAACAAAACCAAAAGGGTAAAAAAAGCTTTTATTTTAGTCTATTTTTTGGCTAAAATGTTCCATAATGTGTCTTGAAGTAGACTTTTTTGCGGTGTAATCCCAGTGTGCCAGCATAAATCAGTCTCTATAATAAATGTCAGCACAGAACGCTCAGTGAGTCAGACAGTGGAGCTTACAGTATCAGTGTCTTTGTGCTGTGGAGACAGCCTCCGCGATCTCCATCTTTACCCCCAGTGTCCCCCTGCTCGAGCACAGGGAGCGTTTGTGCGTTCACGACTGGTCTGAACAATAGACCAGCACACAGTCTGCAGCATGGTCAGAGGCTGGGCTAGCACGCTGCTAACGCTCAGGCTAGCTCTTTAAAGTCCACAAGACAGTCCAATGAACACGGAGCACAATGGGGGTTTGTTGTAGTTCTAGCAAGGCCAAGATTCTTCACTGCATATTTCAGAATAATATTATGTTAGTATTTCTTCATATGTAAATTTCCCTTCACAGCCCAGATCTATATTCACCAGATTTCTCTTTGTACTCAACATCTAACTGAATAACTTTTAATGCTATTTAAAAGAACAGTTTACTCTTTTTACTCGAGTAATATATTTGACAGTGTAACAGTACAGTACAGTGTAGAAGTACTTCTTTCTTATTGTAAGTCTACAAATGACAAAAGCTTTATGTTGACAATATGAAATGATTTGGACATTTGTGTTTCTTGTACTACTTCAGATATGATCAGTCATATCCGTTTATCAATTAGGGTGTTGTAGTTTCAATTTATTTAACTTCAAATTATAAAGCAGATGTTTCACCCACATAGTTACACTAACAGTTCCTTTGTATCAGAGGCGGTGCTACCATTAGGCAAAACTTGGAGGGGCCCCCAACCATTTGCCCTCAGTGCCACCAATGGCCAAGGCCTCAGAGCAATTTAATTTTCTATCGAGATAACATTAAATGAGAGTAGTTTACTTTGAAACAATAATGGAAAACTAAAATGTAATTGTACTTGCAAAAAAATAAAACTACTTTCAGCTCTGGATCTAGTAGGCTTCCTAATAATACAAGTTTCCAGTCCACCATAATTCACATAAATAGAGATGTGCATGTCTCAAGAACAATAGAGAAAAAAACAAAACAAAAAACAAACAAACAACCAAAAAAAACTCAATGCATTATAGAGAGGGCCCTAAACTCAAGTTCGCCTGGGGCTCCCAAATTGCTAAATCCGCCACTGCTTTATATTTAGCAATTTCTTGGACCACTACTTAATAGTAATATTATTTTGAAGTAACAGTACTGTTACTTGAGTACAACAATACATTTGGCTTGGACCAAGTCTGAATGAATGAAATGTCTTTGCAAAGGACACAATGGCAGTACATACAGTACTTGTATCAGAATCAAAGCAGTTCCTCTGGTTTTCAGAGACTTAACCCAAATCCAAACCTTTTCAATGAAATGTATCCAGCAGTATAAACAGAATAATCCCTGTATTAGTGCCATTAAACCGTCCGATTAAAACGAAACTCACTTTCACTGCGATTTCCTTTAGGACAAATGATCTGACCTCATCTCAACTTTGAGAACAGAAATGATCAAACTTTTTAAACTTTTTCTGACATTCCTAATTTTACTAGAATTTTGTCAAGTAACAGTAGTAATCACACAAGCTACTACAAAAAGAAGTATTTTTAAAGTTTACATTTGTTAACTTAAAGGACCAAGATTTTTTCTTCCTGAGATTTGTGTCTAGTTTCAATAAAATTAACACTGAAAAAGGTGAAAATATACACTAGTATGGGATCATGTTATTTCAATGAATATAGGCATAGATTTAAAAAAAAAAATAGTACTATTAGTATTAAATCTAAAAGAGGAATTAATATTAACAGTTCAAAACTACTATTACTACTACTACTACTTCTAGAGAGAGAGAGAGAGAGAGAGATACCTCATTGATTCTGAGGGAAATTCAAGAACTACTACTACTACTACTACTACTACTACTACTACTACTTCTTCTAGAGAGAGAGAGAGATACCTTATTGATTCTGAGGGAAATTCAAGAACTACTACTACTATTATCACTACTACCACTACAACAACAACTACTACTACTAATACTACTACTACTACTACTACTATTATTACTAATAGTACTACCACTACAACTACAACTAAAACTACAACAACAACTACTACTACTACTACTACTACTACCACTACCAAATCTGTACAGGTTATTGAACAACACTTAAAACATACTACTTCTACTACTTCATACTGATTTAAAGACAAAAGAAGTACAGTAGAAGAAAGTACTGACTTACTGACTAATGAGACTTCATTTTGAGAAAAAAAGTTAAACTCTTATTCCAAATGTGTAATTCTTCTTCAACTTTGAATTAGTCTTTTTAAGTGCCTCCCACCTGCTGTTCACTTACTAGTGTTTTGAAGAAACTCATAACTGGATTATCGTCGGCAGCGTTGTCCTGGTTTTCTCCTCTTTCCGATTGACTTTCCTCTCCTTTTTGCTCTGAATCTCTCTCTCCGTCTTCAGCCTCCTTCTCTGGCTCTGGCTCTGCGGTTAGATTTCCACTTTCCTACACATACATTAGAACAACATTAGCTTAAAGGCATATATTAGTGTAGCGGGCAGGACTGCGCAGCCAGGATCTTGAACGCAGCTTTGAGAGGGGTTCACAATTCCATCCATGCCGCTGCCTACTCGTCCCATCTCCAACAATCGTCCTTTTATGAACGTCACTCATTGATATTCAACAATGTGTGTGAGTTATGCTCAGACAAATACCACACCATGTAGTTTTAAAGAGCTTTTGTTGGAAAGTAAAGTTATTGAATGAACTACACAGTGTAATAAAGGGACATCTGACATAAGTTCAGATGAATTCAGAATAGATTGCGTTCACATGACATCACAACACTGTAGATTTATTATAGTTTAAAAGGCCTATATAACACTATTTTCTCATCTATGTTAGAATTGTAATGTCACAAACACACCTGGAGCTTTGTTTCATTCACACATATTTAGGCTGTGTTCTTTTCTCAAGCAGAAAACACTCCACCTTGTGATGTCATGTGGTAATACAGGAAGTGCTCCACTGTGTTTTTGAACTCCACACACCTTCAATAGAATCATTTACAAGATTTCTACTGAACTAAAGGTAAAAAGTAGCTGTTGGCTTGAAAACTACCACTGTGACATCACAAGGTGGAACAGAGCATTTTGAGGTTTGGAGATGTAGACAGACTAATAATAAAGGGTTATTCAAACATGTGTGAAAACATGGCTTAAACTTCACAAGAGTTAATAAATAAATAAGACTTAATAATAGGGATGTAGTGATATCCAAAGCTCACGATATTTTCACGATATATATCTCATGGTACGATATTTATTGTGATATTTTGTGGAGGTTTACAAAATTGTGAATATGCTACTTTTTCCTCTTAAAATGCCTTGACAAGACTTAAGTCAAAGAACTAACAATGAATTTAAGCAAAGAAACTTGAGATTCGATATATTGTGAGAGCCCACAATATTACTGAGAGACTTTTGACGATACAATATCACGATATTTTGGTTATTGTTACACCCCTAGTTAATAATATAGGACCTGTAAACTGAGCTGGAGGACAGGTCCGCTAATTCTATGGTAGAATTTGCAGTTTATCTGTCAGATTGCAGATTTGTTGGCCTGGTTTAAGGCAAAGGAGAATTTGTCCGCTGGACAAATGTTTATTTAGGTCAAAATTGTTTCGCAGCTCATCCAAGCTGCTTCTACAGTTCATTAGAATTTACCTACATTAAATAGACATTGGTCCGGTTGACAAATTGAATTTCTCCTTTGCCATGGATTCTAACAGGACGACTGAGGGATTTTACACATGACCTGGTTTCTGGTTTATATCTCTTTACCAGTTTTTGTTTCTTGTGGATAGGCCCATTAATTACAAAGGTCAATGTCTTCAGAGAAATGATTTTTTCACAATAGCTTCAGAAAAATGGTGCTATTATTAAACCCCAAAGACGTGACTGTTGTCAGTTGCAAGGACTTTTTATATAATGTAATTAATAGTACTTTGCTGATTTGTTGCAGTGCATGAAAGGTTGAAGAAGTTGAAGAGATGAAATTGTTTCATGAAGACATTGACAAATATGGAAAAGTTGGAAAGTTTTATTTTCTAATATAGTAAAGTAGTCATAATGAAAACAATATAGATCAGTGCATTCCAATAGGTAATAATTATCAGTGTTTTTAATAGAAAAGATGCTGAGGAAAGTATAAAAACAAGCTGAGCAATAAATAGGTCAAACTAATAAATAGATCTAACTAATAAATAACAATCTATGAACGTTTTATTGTGAAATCTTCAAAAAAAATATTATAATCTGTAATTTAGTACAATACATGTTTCAACTCTCAAAACTTTGTTTTTTTTTCTAAACAAATGCTTGTTATCTTGTCTTATCTGCTTTTTTTTCCCCCCAAAATGTTCAGAATCAGGACATTACAATCTTTTGACAACTTCCTCCTTCACGATCTAGATTTTGTATATATCATTACAATAGTCATAGATGTTCCTACTGTATTTCAATATTCTATTTGGAATTTGACACTTTGTGGACTACATTCTCAAAATGATCTTCTGGAACTTCTTGGATACTTTTGAGGCCTTTGGGTCCATTCACCACCACAAACTCTTCATCAGGAAACCACACCATCTTGTAGGTTTTCTCAGCCGTCCAAAACTGTGAACATGTTTCTTTCCATTCATCATTGTTTCCATTTTTTGCATCTTCTTTGGTTGTTTTTGGTTCAGTTGTTTCCAAAGATTTTTCTGCATTTTCGACTTGGTTTTCAATCTCAGTCCTTGGTTTAACTGATGCTGTCAAACTTTCTTCGAATTCTGAACTTGTGTATTGCTCTGCCAGAACTGCCTCCACGCAATCCGCCACTATTTTAGGAAGACTGTATGAACCTTCAAGAGAATCGTTGAAGGTATTGGTTGAACTACACTGAAATTTGTCACTTTCTTGTTTATTTAAACCCGTTTTTTCATAAACTACACTGATTTCTGAAGGAGCGAGATCTTCACAGATTTCTTCTGTTGACTCCATAGCTTCCTCTGCTTCTGAAACGTTGCTCAGATCTTCGTTGTTTGTTGGTAGATCTGGTAGGATTTCAATAGAAGAATCGTCTGTGCTGGTTTGGCTGCATAGATCCACAGGTTCTGAGGTTCCATTTCTTCCTTGTTCTTGCTGGTCCTCATTGAAGGTTGAAGAAGGTTCGCTGATCAAAGTTGACTCCTTAATCATAAAAATCATACATTTTCACATAAATGTGAGTGTATATTAGTCTTTGGGGGGGTAAGACATCTGGGATACAGTTAGTGTATAAGAATTGAGTTTTCTTCCATGGAAACAAGCAGGAGGAAGCCAGGTCTGTGGAAATGCAAACTCTCTCACAATAAGCACAATCAAAATTACACACTGGCTTTAAAAAGGAAACAATTAAATAACTTGGCCTACTGTATATATTATAGCTCAAAGTAAAAAGAAGATCACTTTGTGCTGTTTGCAAGAGCTTATAAACTCATTGTGAATAATTATAATGCTCTGAATGCATAGGATAAAGTGAGGAATAACTTTGGACCACTGCAAACGTTTTAAAATGAAGTGTTTTTAAAAAAAAAGTACAGTTTCAAAAAAATATTATTATCATCCAGACAGTATAGTAATATAACTAATACTTGTTTTAGTTCTTACCAGTTGTTGTTTCGTGGCAGCAGGACTTGAGTCTGTCTGATCTCCACTCATCTCCTCTGTTTGTGTCTTCGGCTCCTTCTCTGGTTCTTTCTCTTGCTCTCTTTCAGGTTCTCTCTCTGGTTCAGTGTCCATCACTGGGGCTGGGGCCGGTTTCTTCTTGAACATTTTGCTGAAGAGACTGACTTTCTCCTCTTTGGGTTGGACCTCCTCAGTGAGAACGCTCGGATCAGGAGTTTTATCTTCAGCTTCAGCTTTAAGAGGTTCACTCTGGGGCTCTGATACTGTAAGATCTGGAACATCTTCATTGCTGATGCCATTTCTGTTTTCTTCTTGAATATCACCATTTTGCTATGAAAAGACAACACAAATGAATATTAAAGGTGCACTATGTAACTTGTTTGGTGTGACTCAAATGTTCCACAGTATGACATTAACCTTATCTATCTGCATTTTTAGTCATTATTTAATTACTCATTTAGAATGTACAGAGCCTGGGAGAGATCACTAGATTACTCAAACAGGCATGGATGACCTCTAAAACTTCTTCAGGCATGTTTTTTTTTTTTTTTTTTAATAAGTGAGCATTAAAATATAGTAGAAAGCTCAAAAGTGAAATTACTTGTTGTTTAGCAAGGTCTGTCAGATGTTCCTCTGGCTCCTTCTCTGGTTCCTTCTCTGGTTCCTTCTCTTGCTCCTTCTCTGTTGTAGGAGCTGGTTTCTTCTTGAACATTTTGCTGAACAGACTGACTTTCTCCTCTTTAGGTTGGACCTCCTCAGTGAGAACGCTCGGATCAGGAGTTTTAACATCAGCTTTAAGAGGTTCACTCTGTGACTCCAGGGGCTCAGGGTGTGGAGAGTCGGACTTCTCCTTTGATAATGGAAGATCTGGAACATCTCCATTGCTGATACCATTTCTGTTTCCTTCTTGAATATCACCGTTTTGCTGTGAAAAGACAACACACATAATATATCATATAAATTCAGAGCACTATCACATCACAATAGGAGTGCATTTCACTAATGAAACTATTACACATCGCCTCAGGTTTGTGAATTTGTAGTGTAGTTTTGTATCATACTTTTGTGTATTTATGGAGCATGGAAGATATAGGCTTGTGGGCTGAGCCTTGTACAGACTCGGACTGCTAACTGCAAGGGCTTGGGGGAGATCACTAAATTACTCAAACATGCGTGGATGCCATCTAAAACCTCCTCAAGCATGATTTTTTTTGATAAGGGAACAACATTATGACATGGTAGAAAGCTCCGAAAATTGATTTAGCACAATACTCCCTCTTTAAAATAATAGCTCACCTTTATGGGTGAAGTTACTTGGTGGTTAGCAGGGTTCTTGTCTGTCAGATGTTGCTCTGGCTCCTTCTCTGGCTGCTTCTCTGGCTGCTTCTCTGGGTCCTTCTCTGTTGTAGGAGCTGGTTTCTTCTTGAACATTTTGCTGAACAGACTGACTTTCTCCTCTTTGGGTTGGATCTCCTCAGTGGGAACGCTCAGATCAGGAGTTTTGACTTCTTGTGACTGAAGAATCACATATTCTGTTGATTGTGTAGAGTCTGTTTGGACACTTGGATCTGCTGAGGTTGCAGGTTCGACTATGAAAAAGAAAAGCCAGGAAATATGCAAAGATTTACTCCCAATATGTGTAATGATTAATCACAATATTCATGATTATTTTAAAGCTGCTGTACCTGTTTTTTACTGTTTAAAAAATGTGAAATAATCCTAACAACAACTAGCATACAAAAGTGCACTTTCTGATTATTGGACAATAAAACATGGTATTGATTTCTACCTTCTGTTCCAGATTCCTTCAGTGAAGATCCATTGATGGTTCCATTTTCTTGCTTCTTGGGAATATGTCCATTCTGTTACAGGAAAAAAAAAGTTTATCATATGAGTTTGGATGTGCTGCGATGTGATGTTTTGGTGCATCACACTTCTTGGTTGGACAAAATGACTCGTATCTAGCTACCAAATATGGGCCAGACCTCGTTAGCAATAGTTAGTATGTCCAAAGCTCCTTGTTCAAGTCTGATCTTGTCAAATCTCAGAATCTGAGCAGGGATGGACCTCGTTCGTACTTAGATGAGAGACCACTGGGAAAATCAGGTGCCTGGTGTCGTTATGTCCTTAGGCAAGACACTTCACCCACTTTGCCTAGTATGAATGTGGTGTGTGTGAGAGTGTTGATGGTGGTTGGAAGGACCTATGGCGCAGATTGGCAGCCTGGTTTCAGTCTGTCCCAGGGCAGTTGTGGCTACCAATGAATGAATGAATCAAATTGTAAAGCGACTTTGAGATTCTGGAAAACACTATATAATATTGTTTCCCAAAGACTGGGTCGCAACACTCAGGTGGGTTGTAATAGATTTTTTTGGAGTTGTCTTGTCACTATCTGAATGTAGATCTGTAATATAGAGTTCTGACACATGAGAGAGCGATTAAGTCAGCGAATCCTCTTTGCCTGCCCTGAATGAAATGCTTACTTGGTTGTCCAAAAAGAACACTTCAGGATACTTATGGATCCTTTTATTACTGGTTCAATTACTGAGTACAGAGACACGATCACTCATTCAACAATAAAATATCCTCACTAATGTTCAATAATGGTCAAATTCACCTTTATTTTGTGATTTACAAATTATGTCTATTGACTTGGGTCACGAAGGTTTGTGACTTTTAAAATATAGGTCCCCAAAAAAAACAAGTTTGGGCAACACTACTATATAAGACTAATGCATTATTATTATTATTATTATTATTATTATTATTATTATTATCGGTACTTCCTGCATGTTTAAACTTTTGTGTTCAACTGTTCTTCACAAACTGCCTCTTACTTAACTGATGTAATAAATGTTATGATAAGTATTCGCCAAACCACCAAATCCCACCAAATCAGGTAAAAATTAGAAAACACATCTAAACTCACTGGTATTTGTTGTTGATTATCAGGACGTATGTCAGTCTGATCCTCGTTTGACTGGGATGTGCTGCTGATCACTTCCTTCTCTGTTGTAGGAGCAGGTTTCTTCATGAACAGTTTGGTGAACAGCCCCACTTTCTCCTCTCCTCTGCTCTGGACCTCTTCAGCAGGAGCAGGAGTCTTGGGTTCCTCTTTGGTCTGGATCTGATCAGTGGGAGCGCTTGGATTTGGATTGGGAGGTTGGACTTCAGTTTGAGGAGGTGCGCTGTTTGATTCCACTACGATGTATTCTGTGGATTCGGTTTTGACGTCTGGTAATGAGGAGTCCACGGTGTCCTTTATTGGGATCTTAGACGGCACTACAACAGAAAATATGAATAAAGTTATGGGAATTATCTGCAAATACACAAGATAGTATACAGTGATGCATCATTGTAGACTTTTGTTTATGTTTTTTGCCCACAATAGACCTTTTTCACAACGGCCGGAAGTGCCATGATGTAGGTAAACATCACTTACATTAATGCTTTTCTATGGCAAAATATCTGTGGAAATGTCTCATGTATTTTCCACCAGCTTCATAAATTTGTTCCATCACCAAATCTTCATCCAACAAGGTCGACAAAGTATAAACATTCTCCCATGAAGAATTTATCCACAACTATCACGGTAAGAAAGACGAAAACGTAAAGGCGAAAAACAACGACGCATTAGTGAACTACTCCTGAGCAAAACTAACATTATGGTCATGAATAAAAACAGAAGTAACTTGTTCACTCAAATTGTTTCTAGAATTTAAATTAAAAATCGATTTCATGATGTAGATATTGGCATAGGCAGAGAGATTTGTGTAGTTTAAATATTTCACATGTAATCTGTGAACATCTGTAGCATTCAAAACTGCACAAATCTGTCTATCTCTGCCAATATCTACATCATGAATTCAAATTTACATTTTAATTATAGAATCAGTCTGAGTTAACAAGTTACTTATTAATGACTTACTTATTACTTATGTTTTATTCATGACCATAATGTTAGTTTTGCTCAGGAGGTGTTCACTAATGCTAGTCGTTTTTCGCCTTTACGTTTTCGTCTTTCTTACCGTGATAGTTGTGGATAAATTCTTCATGGACAGAATATGTCCATTCTCGGTCTTGTTGGATGAAGATTTGGAGATGGGGCAGATTTTTGAAGCTGGTGGAAAACACGCAAGACATTTTCACAGCTATTTTGCCAAAGAAAAGCATTAACGACGTTTACCCTACATCACGACACTTCTGGCCATTGTGAAAAAGACCTATTTTCAATTTTCAAATATAACTTTTAAAATTAAGTTCGAGATACCAGAAAAAAAAAAAAAAATAATAATAATATTGAATATATTAAAGGTGCTTTTAGGGTTGCTTTGCCTTTAATGTTCAGCAGTATGGCATTAAAGGTCCTATATCACACAAAACTGATTTCTGTGAGCTTTTAGCCATGTTATAATGTTGTTACCTTATCAAAAACATACCCAGAGTTGTACAGAAAAAACAAAAGCTGCAGGTGTCAGTGGGAGCAGGTAAAGGGTGCTCTTGGAAAAGGATCAAAACTAAAACACAATGGACTCTAGGCACCCCAAAGAAGTAAAAATCGCACAAGGAAAAATATAGTTAAAAGGCCTTTATTTAAATGGCCAAAGCATGTTTTGACCAGACCGGTCTTCATTAGGGCTTAATTGAAGAGTTGTGTTTTCAGACATGTTTGAGTAACCCTTTATTATTTGTCTGTCTACATCTCCAAAGTTTAAAATGAAACGTTTTAAAAATCCACTTTGTGATGTCATTTAGTGGTAGTTTTAATGTTAACAGCTACTTTTTATATTTTATTTAGCAGAGATGAGCAATTCCAGGTCTGAAATCCTCCAAATGATTCTAGTGAAGGTGTATGGAGTTTAAAAACACACTGGAGCACTTAATGTATTACCACATGACATCACAAGAGAGAAAGCAAAACTCAAGGTTTGCTTTTGATGACAATTTTATAATATAGATAAAGAAAAAAGCGTTAATATGGGCTCTTTAAACTTATCTATCTCTTTATATGTATTAATTACAGATGTTATTGCACACATACAAAATAGCTGAATCTATACTGCGGCTCGCCTTTTCACAGATCTGACCAGTTGCTTGTGTCATTTGAGGTTTCATGTCATACCGTGGACCAATCTAGCAAAGCAACAGCATCTCCTGGGAGACAAGCAGGTGGCCGACCCTCCTCCAGAAAAGTTACGTAAGTGCATCAGCTATTTGAGACAGTCCGTAGAGTAAACATGGGCTTGTCTTTCCTCAGAATATCATGAAGTCTTATGTCCAAAGCTAAGATCAATATAAGGCTCGGAGGTTTGGAGAGGGCAAGAACCATGACAGATCTCTGAAACCCAAACCACGTGGATCATATCAGCGTGTTTACGTATAAAACAGGATGTGGATTAAATGTGCACTTTGTCACTTTTCTCATGGAGACTCAACCACTTGCTTGTCATTTTGGAGATGTTATTGGTTTTAAATGTACACTTGTAGTATTTTTTTTATTCAATTCAGTTTTATAGCTAAAATATCTTGAAAAACATGCATTCTTTTACTATCAGCAGGGTCAAGTCTCCACAGATCTGACCTGTAACTTGGCCTAGTGGCATCGCCTGCTTGTCTCCATGGAAATACAGTACATAAGTTTAATGGAATGCTGTGGGACATTCCAGACAAAGCAATATCAAGCAGGGCAAGCACCAGAAAAGGTACATAGTGCACTTTTAAATTAATTCAGTATATGTATACATTAATTCAGTACAGTAGATTAAATAGTTTTCTGATTTATGTTCTAACGTTTTTGGAGCTGTGTTTATTTATTTATTATTATTATTATTATTATTTTCATGTTTAACACACAAACTCTGCTTATTTAGGCTGAGTTCTTCTCTCAAACAGACAACACTCTGTTCCACCTTGTGATGTCATGTGGTAAAACAGGAAGTGCTCCACTGTGTTTTTAAACTCCACACACCTTCACTAGAATCATTTGGATAATTTCAGCTCCGGAATTGCCCATCTCTAACTGAAATAAATGTAAAAAAAAAGCTGTTAACTTGAAACCTACAGTACCTCTTCATGACATCATAATGTGGAGCAGAGCATTTTGAGCTTGGGAGATGTAGACAGGCTAATAATGCAGGATTACTCAAACATGTATAAATGAAACAAAACACAACTCCAGGTCTGTTTTTGATGAAGTCACAACATTAAAACATGGCTTAATGGTCACAAGAGTCCATTTAAGGACCTTTAAAGGCTTTTGAAATTACTTGTCCCTTGCCCTAAAGGATAAACACTATTGCTTTTAATGAAATATTTCTTCTATTTTACATTTGAAGGTAAATAAAGTGTGTTTGGGCCCTACCGTCCACTGTGTGTCCATTGGCAGTGATGGTCAGAGAAATCCCTTTCACTCCTCCATTCTCATGCTTCACGGGGATCATCCCATTCACCTCCTACAAGACAACACAACAACAATATAAATGTAAGTAGTGTTTTAACTATTATTTCATCATCTGGATCAAATCAGACTGTATTTGTAGAGCACTTTTTGTACAGAGCATGTGACCCAAAGTGCTGTACATGGATAACTGAATTCATTCTCTCTCAAAAATAAATAAATAAATAAAATAAATACATAAATAAATAAAACTAGTACAATAAACTAATAAAAAACACAAATAAAATAAGAATTCAACTTCAGGACTGGTATATTTGTCATAAATATCTTGAAGAAATTAAAAATAGTTTAGTCAAGACTTAGATTATATTTTCAATTACTTTAAAGGTGCACTAAGTAATTATTCTGGTGGATAGTTTTCCATCTGTTTGTCCCCATGGAGATATTTACTTCTTTACTTAGCTGAAATGTTCCACAGTATAGCATAAAATGTATCTATCTCCATGGAGACAAGGAGGTGACGCAAGCCCAAGTTGCATTAAAAACATTAAAATATATGACTGAATGAATTCAAGACAGATGACTTTAATGCCATACTGTGGAACGTTCCTGGCATTTCCATGGAGACAAGCAAGAAAAAGTTACATAGTGCATCTCTAAAGCTGTATTATGAAACTCTCGCTTGCCATGTTCCACAGTATGACATTAAACGTATCTCCATGGAGACAATGAGAGTCCACCAGTATAATTACAAAGACACACACACATTTTTGTCATTTTTGAGCTATAGAACATCTGTAATTGAATAAATGCAAGAGAAATTAGTTGAAAGCCACACTATGGAACATTTCAGGCACAATAAAAAGTTACATAGTGCATCTTTAAAGGGCCTGTATTACGCTATTTTCTGATCTATGTTCTAATGTTGTTTTCTCATCACAAACAGACCTGGAGTTGTGTTTTGTTTCATTCACACGTTTAACACACAAATCCTGCATATTTAGGTTGAATTCTTCCCTCACTTTTTTCCACCTTGTGATGTCATGCGGTAAAACAGGAAGTGCTCCACTGTGTTTTTAAACTCCATACATCTTCTCTAGAATCATTTGGATGTTTTCAACCCTGGAATCGCCAATCTCTGCTGAACTAAAGTTTAAAAAATGTCTGTTAACTTGAAAACTATCACTACATGACATCACAAGTTGGAACGGAGCACCTGCGAATTTTACACTCCGACTTTTGACGTTGTTGAGTTTGAGGGCTTGAAAATATACGTGCTGAATATTTAAAAGGTGATTTTCTTTTTTTATATATTGAATTTTAAACACTTTGAAAACGTACACTTAAAATTTCAGCAGCTAAAATGTTTTTTCACAGTTAAAAAATTCAAAGTGAGAAATTCAGCTTTATTTAAAATTAAAAATCTGACGCAACAAATTATCTACCATACATTTGGAGCTTTGGAGATGTAGACTCATACTCAAAAATGTGAAAAAAAAACAAAAAAAACACTCCAGGTATGTTTTTAAGGAGATACCAACATTATATCACAAGTAAAGAGTAAATTTTCTTAAACACATCAATATATATTTTTATGATGTTGAAATCTATCAAAACTTACCTGGAGACTTTCGATCATCTCCTTAGAATTTTCGCTCCCCATTCTGCACCAGTCTGAGGAAGTCTCGTGGCTGCAAAAAATATATAACTAGTAGCCTTGTGTAGCCTTTACTACACTTCGCAGTTCCTCCTCCTTCAGTAAACACAGATATACCTTCCAGTGTGACTTTCCCTTATGAAGCTCATGTCCCTTTACGCAGTATTTAACAAGGTCAGTTTAAAGTGGGCGGGGCTGTTACTTTAGGAAACCATTGGCTCCGGTCTGGGTTAAATCCTACTCACAAACTATTGATGGTCGTGATGTGATTAGTTCAGTGGAGACAAGTGGCCTATTAATCACAAATAAGTAGTATCGGAAGCAGTAGGTGTAACGTAAAAGGCCCATATTATGCTATTTTTTGATCAATGTTATAATGTTGTTTCCTCGTCAAAAACGTACCTGGAGTTGTGTTTTGTTTCAGTCTCACACACACACACACTCAGAAACTCGGGTACATACTGTGGTCACCAGAGTCCATCGTTCTGAGAATAAGTCAATTTCCATCTGAAGTTTGGCGGTCAGCTGTTCAGTGATATAAACTTGTTAACAATTATCATTTTTCGTGCAATCACAAAAGAATAGAGAGAACATATTGTTGATCTTTGACACATACATTATCTGACAGTGCTCCTAATACATACACTACTGGTCAAAAGTGCAATTCAAGTCGTGCAAGTCCAATAAAGAGCTTGAAATGGTACAAAGGACACCTTTACTCCTACCTGAGTTATATTGTATTGAAGTAACAGTACTCTTACTTGAGTAAAAGTTGTTCCTACTGTGAGTAAGTCTACAAACAACAAAAGCTTTATGTCGACAAAATGATTTGAACATTTGTGTTTCCTGTACCAGATTTTGTGCATCGTTTAATGTTTTGTCCTTACAATTTCATTAACTTACAAATAATAAATCAGACAGTTACTCTTAAAATTATTTTAATGGCAGTTTCTCCAAATACCTTTGTACTCTTGCTTGAGTTTGGACCACTACTTTGTATTTCTACTTGAGTAATATTATTTTGAAGTAACAGTACCTTTACTTGAGTACACAGTTTGTCTATTTTACATTCTTCTTCTTCCTGAAACTACATACTACATCTGTGCTAGTATTGTGTCTTTTAATCAGTGTTAATCAAAGAGTATTATAATCTTAATCATCGTTATCTGTTCTGATGACTGCTATTGTTATTTAAAGTGGCATTATGTAACTTTTCGGGTGGTGAATCCTGCACCTGATTGCCTCCTTTGAGATGTTATATCTTTGTATGGCATTAAACATCCTGCATTTAGCCACCTTTCCACAGACGTGACCTGTAACTTTGCATTGTGGTGTCACTCTGTATCCATGGAGAGAAATGTCTGTAATTTTACGTTTTATTGTGAACATTCCAATCAAAGACATTGCATGTTCATGGATACCACAAAGTTACATAATGTCTTTAATTTCAGAATTCACCTCACAACACCTGACTATTGACTCTCCTGTTATATAATCATGTTTAATTCAAACACAGCACGTTTTGCCTTTTAAATAAACATGAAAAGCTGGTGTATGTAGTTTAAATAGTGGACATGAGTGCTGCTAACTGTGTCATACTTACAGTCGTTCTGTATTGGCGTTTTCTGATGAGAATGTGAAGAATGCCCGAGCACAAACAGCCATTGTCGCCTATGGGCCGCACACAGAGGTGGGAGGGTGGAGACCTTAAGTTCTCTCTGCCGCAGCGACCAACGCATCACAGCTGAGATTTTACTACCAAAACTAGAACATTTAAAAGAAAACGTTGGTCAAATATGTTAGATTAGTGTTTCGTGTTACAAATTATAGGGAGGCATAGCCAAACATTGGACTTAAAACTATAGTATGTACTGTAACGTTTTGCCAGATTTTTATTTAATTTTTTTCATTTTGGTTGTTTTTATTGCTCTAAAATTTTTTGAAAAACATGTCCTTACTGTGAGCGGGCTTGGATCTCCACAAACCCAGCCTCGCCTCTGCTTGTTTCCATGGAAATATAATTCTTTTGGCTATAGTCTGTCACAGTGCAGTATAAATTTAGTATGGCTTTATCTTTCTATTTCCATGGAATCGTGCAGGAGATGTGGCACCAGTGTTACTTCAAAATAATATTATGCAAGTAGAAATACAAAGTAGTGGTCCAAGGAATTAGGTAGGATTTTTTTTTTACTCAGGTAAGAGTAAAAAATATTGGGGGAAGTTAAGAAACAAGAGTCTAAAAGTGTCTGAACGTAACATCTCATTTACATTGTGCAAGAAACAAAAATGTTCAAATAATTTCTTATTGTCAACATAAAACTTTTGTCACTTTTAGACTTACTCACAGTGGGAAGAGAAACCACAACTTTTACTCAAGTAAGAGTACTGGTACACTGTCAAATACACAGCAAAAAGTGGCGTGTTAAAATTGACTCTCACAGAATATGTTTTAACATTTTCTCAGAGTTTATATGAGTCCAATCTGTTCTAGAGTTAATTTAACATTTTTGGAAATGTTACTTAAGTAACACTGGACCAAAGTTCTTGTTTAACCCCAAAATCAAGAGTTATATTAATGTTTGAGAGTAAATGGATAACACGTTGTTCAGATATCCTGATTTAGAGGTATCCTGACACAGAGGTGTTTTATTTTTGGGGGGGTACAACACTATAAGTTTTTTGAAATTCATCCTACTCCTTTTGAGCACCAGGTCCCAAATATGTACAAGTACATATCCCTGTTTTTATTGTTTTTTTTTATTATTATTATTATTTTGTTGTACCTGGCTCAAACAAATAAATAAAATGGGAATAAAATTTACACTTCTTCTTCTTCTATCTTAGTTATTATTTAGGATGAAATGATGTACAAAACTGGTTCAAACTGGTCTTCTCTTGCGGGACTTTGAAGTGGTGGGTGGGAGATGCCAAATTAACACTAAGGGAAATTGAATAAACACTACAGGAAGTTGAATTAACATCAACCATATCAACTCTGGCAAATAACCCCAACTCAAACCCCCATTTAACTTTCAAAGAGTTAAAATAACACTTTTTGTGTTAAAAACAACTCTGAAATATTTTATTATATTTTAACCCTCCAGTTTTTGTTATGTAGTAGTCAAACAGGAGTAAAAGGTACAGTAATACAAAAACATTGTTCAAGTTAATGTACTACCAATCTCAATAAAGTAATTCAGTTTGCAGTGCACATTTTAAACATCCAGGAGCAGGACTGTAATACAAACTGATAAACAAATACAAGAGTCCCATGCATTTCAGAACATGTTTGTAGAGGTTCTGAACTAAGACCCTATGCAGAGACAGGGAGGGCATCTGACACACCGGGACATTTCAGAACATGTTTGTAGAGATCTAGACTACACCTTTTACACAGAATAAGACCCTATGGAGCAGGGCTGGGTATCATCAAGAAGTTGCAGATATGATACATACCTCGATACATAGGCCACGATACATTATTCGATACAGTGCACTTTTGTTTCAATACGATTTGATATGATATATTTCTAATAGATTTGATATGACTCAGTGAAAAACAAAGGCTAAAAAATCATGTCTGTGATACTAAATCCACTAAGTTCGTGCTAAGTTCATATGAAAAGCACTCATTTTACTCATCAAAGCAGTGAAAATGTCAACACAAAATGTAACTCTTACACAAAATAATTTAGTGAAATGTACCTAAAACTACTCTTGGCGATATATCGATACAGCAGCCCATGATATCGATGCTGTATCATCATATTAAATGATGCAATATATGGATATTTCAATATTTTTGCACACCCTTACTATGGAGACACAGGTACATTTAGTCTAGATAATCAATTTTTCGTGTACAAATTTGCACAGCTTTTAATCATGTGTTGGGTGCACAGTCAGCAGCACCAGCGTGGTGTGGTCGCTTGTGTGTTGGTTTAGTTTATTCCCAGTTCTCAGGCTGAGCAGATGTAGTGGGCAAATATTTGAAATTGGGTGCAGCCCTGTGTAATGAGGAAATATTTACAGAGGAGAGAGTTCCGCTTGATACAAAAACAAAGAATGCAATTCTGCTAAATAGTGTGTTCTGTGTTTTAGCTACAAGATTAATCACACTTGAAATGTAAATACATGCAATTAGCAAACCGTAAAGATAAACATTTTTTAAGCATCATTAAACAACTAAATCTCCTGTCTTAATCTGCATAAAAACTGCTAACCCTGCTGTTTAAATCTATACAAAATTCTTGCATTAGTTTGTCAATTTTTCGTCAGTTCTTTTTGTCATTTAAAACTTTGAACAGAATTCGATTATTAAAGCATAAATCACAAATCAAATCGCAATCATAATACTTGTCAGACAAATCACACTTAGATAGTTTTCTCAAATGATACAACCCTACTGTGTAATCAGTGTGCAAGAATTGTTGTTTTCAAGCCTCAATAACACAAGCATATTGCCTATAATAAGAAAATGTAGACCTATATGTGTTTTGATCAAAGGGCCTGCAGATTTAGGCTGAGTTCCACCTTGCAATGTCATGTGGTAATACAGGAAGTGCTACTGTCATTTGGATAGGAGGACCCACAATATGTGTCCTTTGAGTTTGCATTGCACTTAGGAAAAGTTGTCTTCTGCATTTGACCCATTCTTCAGTGACACTGGGGCAACCTGAAGCAGTGATGCAAGATCTTGCTATGTTGTGCATGTGTTGGGTTCTTTAGAAAGTCTATTTGCATAGGTTGACCAGACATCCCTGTTTACCCAGGACAATCCAAGTTTTGAGCCTTGTGTCTCCTGTCCCAGCAGATTTATACAAAACCAATGATTTGTCCCAGTTTTATACAAGAAATGTCCCTGGTGTCTCTATTTTTTATTTTTATTTTACCAATTTGATCTAAACCAGGTCTAAGATTAAACCAAGACTACATCAAATTTAAACCAGGACTAAAAAAGGACTATCACATTTTTTGACTAATCTGATCCCTGCCAACAGTAGAGTAGGGTGACCAGATTTTCAAAATCAAAAACTGGGACACCCACTGTTTGAGGTGGTTAGTGATAATAAAATTGTGAAACGAATGGGTGTGTGACTCAGTACAGTCACATTTTCTTTGTGTTTTGGTAAATTTCAAGCAGTTTTTCTATGTTTTACCCTAACAAATGTCAATGTATGCCTCTCTTTACTGTTGGCAGTTATCAAATTGGTAAAAATAGGGACACCTGGGACCTTTCTTGTGTAAAACTGGGACAAACAGTGGTTTTGGATAAAGGGACGGGGACACAGCGCTCAAAACTGGGACTGTCTGGGGTAAATAGGGACTTCTGGTCACCCTAATAAAGAGGAGTATAAATTGTCATTTTTTTTGCCAAAATACACAAATCCGTGTTTGCAAATGATCAGTAAGTAAAATAAATGCAGTGACAGAAGCCTCTCATTTTATGACTGATATGAGAATGCACAATCTTACACGTTCTTTTCACAGTTTTATTTATATCAACCATCTCAGTCCGGGTGTGTCCCAGTTTTGAATCGTCAAAATCTGGTCACCTTACATTAGCGTCAAATACAGTCCAAAAGTGACCTGAACTTTCTCTTGTACCTGCAGTTCTCCAGTGTCTCCACACGGAGGCGCTGCAGCTCCACTGTCCACAGACCTGCGTGAAGAAGGCACAATGGCAGCCACCATGAAGGGACCTGTCGTGAGTCTCATTACGTTTTTCTGCTTTAAAACGAAACATGGACACATTTATTTAGTGTAACCAGATCTTATGAAATCCAGCGCTTCTGAAAAATACATCCGATCACTCTAAAGTGCCTTAAATGTATTCAAATCTCACCCTCGTGTGTCAGATCCATGCTGCAGCCGGGTACATGTTGTTAGCCTGTTAGCATGTTAGCATTACGCATGGTTAGTCACGTAAACCGGTAGATTCTTGCGCACTAAACTATTCAAAATTATGTACGGATTTTATACCGATGGTGAAATGTTGAAATGCTGAAATTAAGGCAACGATGGAAAGTAATGTGTTAATAATTAGTTGCTTGTTGGTGTTAGCATAGAAGCTCGTCAGCTGTCAGGGGAGTGGTCCAGTGTGATAAACTTTATTGATTCACAAGAAGAGAAATTATTTAGACACAGTATCTCACACATCACAATATAATATAATAACTAAGAGTAAAAATACAGAAATGGTAATAATAAGTTCTAAATAAGTAGCAAAAAAGATAGAAAGAGACAGGCGTCAAATAAGGCATAAATATATAAATGTAAATGTACAAGTCGAAATAAAATAGAAAATAAGTAATAAAAATTATAAAATCACAGCTTCATAGGCATGCAGCAATAACCGAAATATTGTGATATCGTATCGCAAAAAAGTCTCACAATAATATCGTTGACTGTCAAAATAGATCGAATCACAAGTTCTTTGGCTTTTAAATGCATGGTTTTATAGTAGTAACAGCTTATAAACAGCGGAAACTACATATCCCATGATTCATTTCAGTGCAGACGACATGAAGATAGGTTTTTTACTTGAATTCTTGGGATTATGACAGAAATAATTCACACCAAAATCTTGTCATGGTATTTTAAAAGCAAAAAAGTGTCCCATCTACAGTTATATCAGCCTCTCCAAAATATCGCAATAAATATCGTTCTCTGAGATGTATATTGTGATAATATCGTACTGAGAGATTTGGATATCATTACATCCCTACAGCTTTATACAAGAGGACAGAGGAAGACAGTGCAACAATGATATGATGATTGATAGGACATAGGGTTACCTGTTACATAAGGGTGAGTTGTTGTACAGTTGTAGGGAGTATTATCTGTTACATAAGGGTAAGTTGTTGTATATCTGTATGGAGTATGGTTTGAATGTAGTCCTGTAGCTCTCACTGTTTGATTGACAGTGTGGTTTGGCTTTCTAATACCATGCCATTAGCCAGATAATAATAGCTATTAACTTACCCGTGTAAACAATCCAATCCAACTTTATTTGTATAGCACATTTTACCAACACAAAGTCTCCAAACTGCTGCACAGAGTAGGCACAGTATAAATTAGCATATTCAATAAATAAAGCATGAAATAAAGTCAATAGTCAAGTCAATAAAAAACATAAAAAATACAAAAATTTGCAAACAGTTCTCATGCCGTGTGAAGCCAGTGAGCTAAAGTGTAAGTATTAGGCTTACAGTTAGTCCAAAATTCTGCAGCACGTCTTTTAACCAGCACACGTAAAGAACACATTACTCCTATTTTATCCTTATTGCACTGGCTCCACTTTCATTTTAGAGTTGATTTTAAAATGTTATTGTTTGTTTTTTAAAGCACTTCATGGACTGGCACCAACTTACATCTCAGACCTCACTGTTTTTACACTCCTTAACGCGCTTTGAGGTCTGAGGGCCACCTTCAACTTGTCCCAAAAACGAGACTCAAAAGCCACGATGACCCTGGGGTGATCCTGGGGTGATCCTGGGGTGATCCTGGGGTGATCCTGGGGTGATCCTGGGGTGACCCTGGGGTGATCCTGGCGGGGTCCTGGGTGACCTGGCCTTTTTTTCTGGTTGGCCCCAAACATACTCACTGGCTTTTAACACAGCATGAGAATGGTGTGTCCTCTGACTGTTTTTCATAGATTTTTTTTGCTATTTTTCTATTTTCAAAATGTTTTTAAGTCGTGTATTTATTTATTTTATGGTTTATTTTATTTAATGTGTTCATTTATATTGTGCCTTACTCTGTGCAGCACTTTGGAGACTTTCTGTTGGTAAAATGCACTATAGTTGGATTGGAAGTGTAAAAGAGAAACAAAATATGGAGGAGAAAATGTATTTTTATGTATGTAAATGTATTCATGCTTTTAATTTTAAATGGTGGGTAAGTGTGTTCACATTTTTACAATCTGAGAAGTTCTATTGGCATTGTCACTGTCACAGTATTGAAAATGGACTTTAGCAAACTGGTATGAAGATGTAAGAGGCAAGTTAATGATAAAGTGAATATATATATATTTGTTTTAAGTTTGCAGTTCAGTACCAGCTATTACTGCTTTTTTGTTTTAAATAAACAGAACATGAGTTTCCTGCTACATGTGAATAACTGTTTTCTTATTTCTTTACAGGCTGTTGAAGATGTGAATGTCACATTTGAGGACCAGCAAAAAATTAACAAATTTGCACGAAACACGAGTCGAATGGCAGAACTAAAAAATGAAATAGAGGCAAAAAGGGTTAGTGTTATTTTTATTTTTAGACTGATGAAGGACTAAAAGCTTTTGTTGATGTTTATTCCAAGCCATTATTTGAAATCCAGTACACAGTGCATACTCAGACTACTCTTCTTCTTTATTAAATTCGTTTCAAGGTGCTATCTCCCCCTCCAGAACATTATGCAAATTATGTGAAACTTTGAAGTGCCCAAATAATTCAGTGAGTTTGTGAAGAGCGAAGTGTTTTTTGTTTTGTTTAATAAATCAGTGTAATAAATTAATTATTTTATTTATAGTTCTCTGTCAGTCACCAAAAGATGTTTTAAAATTTGATGTATTATAATGATGATAACAATACTTCATTGGATTTATATAGCAACTTTCAAACACACAAAGCTCTTACACTGCATTATTCATTCACACCACACTCCCCTAATAGTGATAAACTAAAGACCTATGAAAAGTGTTATAAGATCTTTGAAAAGTCCTTTTTTGGTCATGATCTTTAATTTGTAACTGATTTCCTGTTTTGGAACTGGGGTAGTCTTTTGGTTTCAGTTTTGACTAGCAAATACATATTTACTGTTTGAATTAAAAATTTAATTAATTGTTTAATTTTAAAATCCTTGTTTAAACTATCATTAACATTCAAGATACTTATCACATCTTCCTTTGTTTTGTCTTCCCATGCAGCCCTACACTACAACCTAACCAAAACATTGTCTTCAGAGTGTGCAATAAGCGATTAGTAATTCTTTTGTTATGTGTGAATGTACTTATGCAGGTGTGTATATGAAAACTGTAAGCTTTTTATCTTAATATTATTTTATTGTTTTATTAGGATGCTCATTAGCTGCCTGTATGATGACTGCTAGTCTTCCTGGGGTCCTCTTAAAAATAATTATTCCACAATAAAATGGATTACATTTACAATGTTGAGAACAAAAATGTGCTGTAATAGGGGCAATGGTTGTGTGAAAATGAGAAAAAGAATCATGTTCTCATGGTCATCTGCAGTAATTGCATTGTTAGTTTCTTCTTGAGTTTATATTTAACTTCAGTTATGCGCACAGAGCAGGGGAGCTGATTCCAATATAATATGGCTATATATATAGAAAATATAGTTATGTTCTTTTCATCTGAACACATTTCATTTCATTGTTGACTGTGCGATTACTTAGATTTACATTAGAGTAAATCTAAATCTATCTGTCTGTGTTGCTGTTTTGTAGAAGTCCCTCCAGAACCTGCAGGACGCGGGGGACGACCTGATGATGTTGGACGATGACGCTCTCATGGTGCCATTTCAGATCGGAGACGTGTTCATCAGTCACTCACAGGAAGAGACACAGGAAATGCTGGAGGCCGCTAAGGTGAGGGCTCACACGTGGACCGCAAGACTCCATTCATATGTAAGCACATCAGTGCGGTCCAAGTGTAGTCACCATCCCTGCATTTACTAGTATAGTTGTTAACGTTTCTAATGTCAAGGCTGCGTTCTCTCAACCCACCACCAGAGGGCGCTCAAAGACAGTTAGAAAGTTGACCAAATCGGACAAACTACTAGAGCAACAAATAAATCAGCTTTAGGCATTTCTATCTGTGATTAGTTTCACAATAGAAAAAATTCAGCTTGATTTTAACAAAGGAAGTGACGCAACATCCTATACCAATTACAATAAAATAAGATAAAACATGCTCCTGTTTTGCTAATGGAATGTAATTTTCATGCTCAAAATAATAGTACTTTCTTTATGTCACCATGAGGTCTTAAGCTTGTTCTGATAAAGCTCAAATTGACGCTACAACTGTTTATGAAAGCTAAAATTTTGTCACGTTAATGTGATTTTTCGATACTTGCTTGTGTTTAATTTAGATTTTAGTTTTAGTATAGATTAGTATCTGACTTTCCATACATTTGACAACTTCAGTTTTTAGATAAAATGAGTTCTCACATTGCCTTTGATCATATAACTAATATAAAACGAGCCAGTCTTTTGAACGGCTCTTTGAAATGACCAGATCCAAAAGATTGAGATTCCAAGAGCCAAAAGCCCCATCACTTCACATTTCTCCTGTGTTAATGAGGTTTTATGTGAAAAAGCAGATATCATTCTGGCTGAGTTATTCTGAATAGGCTGCCTTTTGGGTGCATGTACCATTCCTTCTTTTGAATTTCAATTAAGAACAAAAAACAATAAAATGGGAAAACAATTTGTTATTTCATTATTTTGCTTTAGTGTACGAAAAAAACTAAAACCTAAAACAGAAAAACAAAAACAGATTTTGACCTCTATTTCCAATATTTAATTTAAAGTTTTTGACAGTTTTTTGTTTGGTGATATTTGAAATAAACTTTAAATTAAATACTGGTATAGAGGTCGAAATCTGTGGGGTTTTTTTGTTTGACAATTAAACAGAATAATGAAATAATAAACTTTTTTTCCCCTCATTTTATTGTTTTTCATTCTTAACTGAAATTCAAAAGATCAAATGGTACACGGACCTTTTTACAAACCTCTCAGAGAAAATGTGCATTGTTGACTTGTTGCTACCAGGATTCGTTTTGCGGTTTATGTTTTAATAATAATAATTGAATAATAATAATTCACATTTTAAACACATCCAGAAGAACTGACAAAAAGACTGAAATCTGAACTGACAAACGAATACAAGAATCACATTTCAGAGCATGTTTGTACAGATCTAAACTACAGGGTTAGCCGTTTTTTTGCAGAATAAGACAGGAGATTTTTTGTTTGTGGAAGAAATTTTAACACTTTAAATGGCACCTTTTGTGATTTGTTCATTGCGTCTAGGTTTGTGCAAAAATTTTGAAATATGGATGTATCATATGGTTTAATTTGATGATACAGTATCGATATCGTGGGCTGCTGTATTGATAGATCCTCAAGAGAATTTTTATGTATATTTTACTAAATTATTTTGTGTAAGAGCTACAATTGTGTTGACATTTTCGCTGTTTTGATGAGTAAAATGGGTGTTTTTCATATTAACTTAGCACAAACTTAGTGGACTTAGTAGACTTTTTTTTATTGTTTTATTTTAACGAATTTTTTAAATGTATCATCATAAGTATGTATTGTATCAGCAGCTTTTTAATGATACCGAGCTTTAATTGTGTCCAATTTGTGTTCAAATTTCTGCTCGATTGTGATTGATCTTGCTGCTCTAATTAGTGCACACAAACACAGAACATTTTACATAAATCAACCTGCTTTATATCCTGTTTTAATGGTTATATTTGACTTGAGTTTTCCATTGAAATTAGTGGGATCCTTGCTAGGGCTGTCAAAAGTATCAGATCAGATGTTAATCGATACTAAAACTAATACTGAAACTAGATACTCATTTCAGTAAGTATTCATACTAAAAAAGTCACATTGACAGGACAGAAATGAAGTTTTCCTGAATAGGTTTAGAATGATCTTGAGCTGTATCAGAACAAGTATAAGAGCACATAGACTAGTATACACAACCTACCTGGACCACTGAGGGAGTACCGTATTTTCCGCACTATTAGGCACTCTGGATTATAAGGAGCACTGTCATAGAATAGTCTATTTTTTTACTTTTTTCACATGTAAACTGCACCGGACTTTAAATGAAAGTCATGTGGGATCCTTGCTAGGGCTGTTAAAATCAGATACTAATTGAAACTAAAACTAGTATAGAAACTAGATACTCATTATCGATACTAAAAAAGTCACAATGACATTGGTCTTGAGCTGTATCACAACAAGTATAAGAGCACATAGACTAGTGTACATCCATGGACCACACTAAAATAGAAAAAGTACCGTATTTTCCGCACTATAGGTCATTAAATGGTCTATTTTCGAACTTTTTTCACAAATAAACCGCACCGGACTTTAAACAAAACACAACAGTTGGATGGGTCAGTGGGACTTTGTTTGGTGCGTTCACGGTGACTCTGGGTTTTGTTCAGTTGTGGCGTGTAGGGAGGGTGCTGTCTGGGACCAACGGATTGTCGGCGTGTTCACAGTGACTCAGTTGTTCAGTTGTGTCTAGAAGTGGCACATTGCGCTCACTTTTTGGGTTCCTTCCTCCGTTCCATTCCTCGTCCACATGGAGTTTTTAGCTGTGTGGTCGCTGTCTGTGTGTTTGGGTTTGCGTGCGCTGCGGGTGGTGCGGCTTTGTAGTTTACTGAAGTGGATTAAATGAGTGGATTCGTGTATAGGGTGCTCTGGATTGTGGGGCGCGCAGTTGTTTTTTGATGAGGTTGGAGGCTTTTGAGCGCACCCTTTAGTGCGGAAAATACGGTATGTTCAAAAGAATTTGTTATAATTTTTATTTCGGAATCACTATTGAGTATTAAGTCTGTTTTAGGAGTTCAGTTACATTTTATTGTTAGCAGTATTTCTCATTTCCACTTGTGTCTTGTATTTATTCCTCACCTAACCTGGGCAGGTCTGGGGGGAGCCTTGACTGAACTTGTAATTACCCAGCATCCCCCTGTCCTCTGCGGTGGAGTCATGCATGACACACTCTTCTGTTGTCTGTGTTTAAAAGATCCATTCAGTCCTGATGGAACCCAGGGTGAAGGCTACAGTATTAGGCCTTTTGACATCACCGGGTCCTTTTCAGACTTTGTTCGCTCATTAAAAGAAATGCTCCTCTTAATCCTTTTATTATTAATCTGATCAAAAAGAGCCTTGATTTAAGACTTCAAATCACCAGCATGTACAGTCGAATGGGGATTTAGTGTGTATAAAAGTCTGTATATAGAAAAGTGGAGTCTACAGGGCTAGTTGAGAGCAGGTCAGGTTAAAAAAATCTGACTAAATTAACATTGCAATATCATAATTTAAAATCCATATTGCTGGAAACTAAAATGCTAATAATGCTAAGGTCTCTTGTTCATACCATACTTAGCTCACTCTTATGTAACAGATAATACTCCCTACAACTGTACTACTCACCCTTATGTAACAGATAATACTCCCTACAACTGTATGTAACGCGGGTGATAAAACTGTGCTGGCTATATTATCTTGTCCCGCTCCTGCGCTCTGATTTTATGTCTCCTTTCATGCATTTGGTCACGTGACATCAATGGCTATATTGGCGTGAACCCCGGAAGCGCAGCAAACCACGAGAGACAAACAAATGCGAGCTGCAGGAGCCAACTACCATCGCCCTTCAAGCACTTCACGCGAGCCGCGTGTTGATGAATTATACGGAATTGGCAAGGTCTTGATGGCGAGCTAAGCCCAGGTTTCTCACCTACAGACACCACCGATATTCCACTCAACTCCTGCCAGGAATCCAGACATCCCCACTCCCTCTGTCCGGCCCAGTAGGAGGCTCTTGTAGCCGGCATTTGAACTCTCACACCTCCACACACATCGCTCTACAGCCCCACCCGTTCAACCACTCGCTCCCACTCCTCACATGCTTCTGAACTCATTCTCGGGTCGTATGAGCCACTACTATTACTGTGCGTCGTGATGAACTGTGTTTATCATATCAATTTGTGTGTCCAAATTAGGGATGGGCATTCGATTAAATTTTCTTAATCGATCGTCGGAGAACTGACGATTGACTATCGATTAATCATTAACGTTTTTATATTAAAATGATCATTATTACTATTATTATTACTATCTGCACTACTAATCTGCATGAACAAATTCAGCTTTACGACATATAAACTGTAATCACTCTAGAGCCACATCAGCCCGTTTGACATTACAATGTGTTTAATGCAGCTTTGCGCAACTCACAGAAACGAAACTTAAAACTGCATGTCTAATTTACATAAACTAAGCAAAGAAAAAAACTTGTGCACTGATGCGGTTCAACTTCTGACGGATTAAAGGACATGACTCAGTGGAATACAGGTTAGTATGACCATATTTGCATTTGTCCAAACCAGGACACCGTACAGAGGGTGGGAGGCGGGGACTCGTCATCGACATTGCGCGACTCTCACCTGGTGAGCTTTTTCCCACTAGACACCGAAACATATGTGCTGCTTTGTGCACTGTGCACATGGACTCACACTTGTCCCGACTGGAACGTAAAGCGTTAAATTTCTTGTACAAGTCATCATTAAATATGCATTTGTGCTTCGGTACGCTGCAGACTGACCGACTGTCTGTGTTTGCTCGCTCCTTCTGAGTGCAGAGAGACACATGTACGGACCCGTTTGGTCAGGCTACGCACAGCAACCTACATTCAATTTGTCGATTAAAATGAACGTAATTGATGAAATTCTTGATGATCAATTATCAATTAATCGACTAATCATGCCCATCCCTAGTCCAAATCGATTTTACTTTTTTTTTTTTGACATTTTGAATGCTTCTACCTCATAAATTTATCGTCTACCTCACTGAACTTTAATGTATTGTAAATATTGGGATTTCACTGAATTCATGTATTGTCTTTTTTGTCTTTTGTCTATCCTTCAAAACATGGTACCATCAAAGCAGTTTCAGTCTCTGCCCCCTCTCTCCATGAGCCGCACATAGTTTTCTGGTTCTGAGCCCATAGTTATTACAGTATCTTGTATTTACTCAATTATTACATGGTATAAAGGTTAGTACAATACTCTACCTCATTTATTATTATCCTATGCAGCTTATTTGCTACATGTGAGTTTTTAGCCAAAAAATAGACTAAAATAAGAGTGTGTTTTTTTTATTCTGGTTGTGTTTATTGCACTGAAAAACTTATAAAAACTGCTTGCATTTTCACAAACCTGTAGAAGGGCATCCTCCTGCTTGTTTCCATGGAAATATTGTTCCTTTGGCTATAATCTTCCGCAGCATGGCATAAAAAAATATCTCCATGGACAATGTTTCAAAGTATTAATTTTCTATTTACATGGAATCATACAGGTGACATGCCACCTCCTGATAACTACATTTTGAACCTAAAGGTGCATTGTGTAACTTTTTGGTTAGGGGTCCTTCACCTCACCTGTTTGTTTCTATAGATGTCATTGCTCTGTCTGAAATGTTCCACAGTATGACATTAAACACCTCTACATTATGTATATTCAGTTGGAGGTTTTTTTAGAGCTCAAAAACACCTAGAAAAACAGGCATTCTGACTGTGAGTGGAGCCGCTTCTCCACAGATCTGACATGTAACTTGGTCTGGTTTGGTCTCCATGGAAATAAAAAGGTTTAATGCCATACTGTGAAACATTCCAGACAAAGCAATAACATTTCCATGAAAAATACCATTTGATGCACCAGAAAAGTTACACACTGCACCTTTAGTATTCTCTTGTTGCCATATAATGACATCACATGACCCCAGCGCTACAGACGTGCCCTGATGATTGAATTGTCTTTGCAGGAGACTCTGGAGCAGGAGGTCAAATGTCTGGAGGAGCGCGTCTCGTCCATTCAGCAGCTTCTGGGAGATTTGAAGGTTCAACTTTACGCCAAATTCGGAAACAACATTAACCTGGAGGCGGACGAGAGCTGAGCCGAGAGAGGCTGGGACAGATCACCTCCAGTCGGACACTTTGTTTGACCTATGCTCTGGTTCTTGCGTCATATCCCCCGTGGACCTGCCATTCTAAACCCCTCCACCTCTCCCCATATTGATGACTCTTAGAATATTGTATTTCCAGATTTGGGTCTCATCAAGGACAGAAGCAGAGATTAGCATGAAATAAATTCATTTTTGTTAAAACCACCTAAGTGTTTGGTTTATTGTTCATCGTTTTGATATATAATCCACATTAGTGAATTCTAAATTGAATGGTAAAAGAAAGTTCTGTTAACAGGACAAAAGTTGAGTTCCTCAGACAGATATAAGGCTGTGTCCCAGCTGCACTTGACCACAACTGAAGAAGCCACTTCAATTTTCTTTTGCTGTGATTTACCTGGATGACTGAGGGATGACACAGATATGAATCAAATCTATTTAAATTTCCTGAATTGCCTGAACCTTGAATTATTTGGTGGTCTTGGTGGGGCATATGGGAGGAGGCGCGGTGCATGGTCCGGCAGCATGGTTAAGTCCTGACTAAATCCTGTTTTAGTCCTGGTTTTAGACCGGTTTTAGACCCTGTTTAGACTTGTTTTTAGACCTGGTTTAGACCAGTTTTAGTCCTGTTTTAGACCTGTTTTAGACCATTTTAGACCTGTTTTAGACCTGGTTTAAACCCTGTGTTAGACTTGTTTTTAGTCCTGTTTTAGATCTGGTTTAGTCCTGTTTTAGACCTGGTTTAAACCCTGTTTTAGACTGTTTTTAGTCCTGTTTTAGACCTGGTTTATACTGGTTTTAGTCCTGTTTTAGACCAGTTTTAGACCCTGTTTTAGACCTGGTTTAGACTGGTTTTAGTCCTGTTTTAGACCTGTTTTAAACCATGTTTTAGACTTGGTTTAGACCTGGTTTATTTCTGTTTTAGTTCTGGTTTAGTGGCGCAGCCCGTGCGACGTACGGGAGGGCGGGAGATGGTCGGACAGTCCTGCGGCGTATGAGAGGGGGGTTTACGCTTTCGCTGCCCGATACCAAACGACCCACGGCCCGTTACCTGTCCCCGACCTGGGGGTTGGGGACTCCTGTACTAAATAATATGAGTTACTTATTTCAGCCATTCAAATTGTGATGATGATTCCTGACATCTCATGACCTCTCAATGGTAAAATTCAGTGTTTCTTTTCTATAAGTGTAACTTCAAATTTTACCACTGTAACGTTTCTATTTCTCCAAATATATCCAAATCTCCCATATTTTTCTCCAGGGCTGGGTCAGTTTGCTGATGTCTTGCTCTGGTGCGTATCTCTCCCTCACCTGCTGCAGCTCAAATCTGAATTGGACATGGTTTTGGGGGATGCGTGTGTGTCCATTTTAATGAAGGCTCTTTTGTCGTATCCATAAAATCTGTGACTTTGTGTGGTTCAGAGTGGAACAGAAGTCACCTGCCAGGAATACAATATGAACACAGTCGCTCTGATCGCAAAACACCAAAGTTTAAAATCTAAAAGCAAGTGCAGTGATCCAGGCGCTTGAACGATTTTGGAGATTATATCAGAAGAAATGAGTTTGTAGCAGCTCTGCAAAGTTGGAGAAATATTGTTTTGGTAGCTTACTTGAAAACGACTATTTGTAATTAGACAAACAGATAAAACCCGGTGCTGTTGTATTCTCACTTTTCACCACTAGACATCTGACATCTACTGGTGACAAAAAGAAATCAAATATATTCACGGATGGTAGCAGTGTATGTGTTTTTTTTTCTGGGGGAGGATGTGCCACCTGCGTCTTGGAGCTTTATTGTTTTGCCTTTAATGTTCCACAGTATGGCATTAATCATGATTATGAAGACGAGCAATGTGCACCACCAGGGGAAATAGGAATTCATATTTTTCAGGGTCATTTCGAGCAATAAAAATCCCTACTGAATAATATAGTAGATTGATAAGTGTAATACCATACTGTGGAACATTGTAGGAAAATCAGTATCTCCAGTCTGGAGACAAGGAGTCGGCGTCCCCCGTCTGATTTTACTGTTTAAAGTGAATGAAAACCAAAAGTGGACGGATGACAAAACTAAGGATTCTTATATATAAAATATAGGACCTTTTGTCTTCATCTGCCCTCAGCCTGGGTACTTTCTGGTATTGGTATACGACCCAGCTTGATAGGGTCAAGGAAGTAATGAAAAACAAGGTGGACAATGGAATAAATTAAGTAATGTTTAATTAAACGGGAATGTAAAGGTAAATTAACAAAACATGCTAAAATATGTACAGAAAATAACCTAAACTAAGAAACAAAATAACAAGATTAACAAACAATGAGTTTCGTGCCAAAAAACGTGGCACGCAGGTCTATACCAGAACTAGTCTTTAAACTAAGGGACACACAACCAAACTAAATCACAAGTGTCCCAAAGTAAAACCACATAAATGGGGAAACAGATGTTCGTGGGAAACAGAACTGAGTGACAAAATTAAAAGTCACAAAACAGAACTAAACTAAACAAGTGTCTCAACACAACAGTCAGACACATACTAGTACGAACAAGTGACTGACACTAACAAGACACAGACAAATACAAAATGGCAGACTGGCCACAAAGGCCAGCAGCCCCGAACAGGTACTGCCAATCTCCGTAAATAGGGGGAGGTGACCAGGGCTCCCACAGCAGGAATCAGGACAGCCAGCAGAAACAAAACACACACACACACACACAACACAAGTCAGAACTGGAGGTCTGGGGCTGTAACACTCGGTATCGGTCTGAGTACTGTCTGGTATCGGTCTGAGTACTGTCTGGTATCGGTCTGAGTACTGTCTGGTATCGGCCTGGGTAATCTCTGGTATCGGTCTGAGTACTGTCTGGTATCGGTCTGTGTAATGTCTGGTATCGGTCTGGATCATGTCTGGTATAACTGATTTTGTGATTTTCCTTCTGAACTTGACACATGCTGAGACTGTTCACAGGTCATAGTGAAAATACAGTATTTGTGTCTATTTCTGGCTTGTTTGGTGCAGTGTATTCTCCATGGCTCACAGCCCTGACACCAAAGCCTCATTAGACTGAGCTCTCCAGCTCCTTCAGATCAGATCACACACATGCTGTAAATTCTTTGTTACAGGTTACATTTATTTGAAAAATAACCAAATTTCACATTACAGGTAACTCTTGTTCACGATTGAGGGGAGGATGGAGCGTGAGAGTGACAGGCGATCGCTGTAGAGTTGCCAGAGGAGCCAGCTGAGGTGGCATGAGCATCTTTTTCCTGGGGAGGTGTTCCAGGTACAGGAAGAAGGCCCTGGGGAAGAGGGAAGTGTGAGTATCTCGGCTTAGACTACTGACTCTGGATAAAGTGAAACTGGACCTGGATAAAGTGGAAGAAAATGGATGGAAGTGGAAATTTTACATTTTATGAACAAATATGTAACTCACATCTGAGCCACTTTTATTGCAGCAGGTCAGTTCCACTCTAACCCGATTTCCCACACTTCCATAAAGTTGGGGGTCATGGTGTCACTTCCTCCTCCTCTTCTGCTTCTCTGTGGCTGTGGCAGGGTCTGCTGTCGGCCAGCAATTCCTTCAAACTTTAAAGGGCCCATTTCATGCAAAATAATTCTTCACATTGTATCTTCTGCACATATACAAGCACAATTTGAGTTTTGGAACATCCATTACACAATAGTTATGAAATCTTATCGTTTCAGCTACGTCAAACGCGTCATAGGTGTATCTGCCGCGTCATCGTTGTAGCAGCTTTAGTTCGTTGTCACGTGGGAAGGTGGCAGAAATACACAGGAATTTGTAAAAAACGCTGAATCAATCTAAAAACCACTTCGGCGACATATACAAGGCCCACACATCACTCTTAGAAGGTAGAAAGCTCTGAAAAGTTGATTTTGCATGAGACGGGCCCTTTAAAACTTTGTATCTTATAATCTTTTTACTTGGCACCTCCACACACGTTTTATAACACGGGCCGTGCATGGGAGACATTTTTAGCTTGGAATTCAAAGGTCGAGTTTTTGTTATGGACTGATTCATCTCCAATTCAACTTTACTGCGTTCTTCAACTCAACTAAGACATACTGATGGCAGGCTAATACATAATTTGAACCAGGATTACAGTACCTTGAATTAAAACCTTGGGTTAAAGGTTGTATGGAGGATTTTTTTTTGTTTCAAATTGTCAATGAAAGTGTAAAATACCATTACATAGACACAGCAGCCTTGTAATTATGATGACCAAAAAAATATATATATATATTGAAAATCTATGAACTGTGGATGTAGTGAGGCCAGATAAACATCAGCCAATAGACAACTAGGCTACCCCATTTTCTATTGGCTGTTAGGTTGTCAATCAAACTCACTACATTTCTAGTGTAACTGACTCGCTGGCGCTGGGATTACGTGGTTTATGCAACGGTTCTTAGAGGCTTTTTCTAAGTGTAGCTTCCTCGCAGTTCGCACAAAGTTTGTTGAGATGGAGGACGAGAATCCACGACCAGTTCGCCGCAAAAGAAAGTCTGTTTTTGAGGTCGCTGAAAGAAGAGAAGGGGGAAAAGGAGCGAAGACAAACTGGGTGATTCTTGGAGATTCCTTCCAGCGATGGCGCGAATGAAGCTGAAGAAGGGTCTAAAAACTGAGGTGTCGGTCTCTAAATTATTTCTAGACAGGTCACTCCAACAGTAATTCTGAACACGCTCTAGCTGTAAACAAGAATGATTTCTAGAGTAAGAAGGCGGGAGGAGGTGTTTCTACTGAGGGAGCTGTGGAGGAGGGAGGTGGTGTCACGCATGCACAACATTTGAAAAAGGACTGTCGCTGTATTTCTCTTCCCTTAAAAAATCCTCTATACAACCTTTAAACTATCATTGAATCATCACGGACTATACCCATAAACTGCAATCACTGGACCGGTTTTTATTTTTTTATTTTGTTCTTGTCTTGTTGTTCTGCTATCATTTGCTTAAATTATTTCAATACATTTACCACAAAGACTCTAAATTCTGTGTCATGTCCATTCCCTCGGGCTGCTTCTGTAGCCGTAGTCTGCCCCTAGCCCTAAAACTTGCGTTACAAAGGCAGAATTTTTTTTTTTTTTAACCCTGTTCATTCATCCAAAGTGTCAAACAGGACTGGAGGAGTGATTGTAGACCTCTCACTCTCACTGACCCGTCTTTTTAAAATGTTTGTACCTCCACTT